TGATGCACATGCAAAAGCCAATGGTTCTTCCTCACCCTGAATCTACTGGTAGCAATACTTCAGCTGTGAAGGGCAGGGCCTTCTTGTGCAGCTCCATCTTGTGTCTTGTCCAGAAGATAACACTTCGCAGTCCTTCGCTGTCTTTTCTCTCTTTTTACCCACTCTTCTGCAGTGATCCGTGAGCCTTAGAGAAGATTGTACAAATGTTGTCCAGGGCTGGATTGCATCTGTCACTTACTCTTGGCCCCATGAGGCTTTGCATTCACCACCAGTCACTGGAAAGAACTTTTCTAATTAAGGTTGACAGTAGCATTTGCCCATGGGTATAAGCATAAATATTTAGAAGACAGCTTAATGCTATGTCAATTTGCCAAGCTAGGGTATTCAGTTGCCTCCCAGGGCCTATAATTTCTTCCACCACTGATTTTTGACTGGGTTTACAGTGCTAAGCCATGGGCTTTCCTCTGGTCTCCAATCTCATCGGAGAGCAGAGAGCTGCTGGCTACCTTCCCACCAATAGTATATTGTTTCATTTTACACTACTGTTGGAGTGGTGAGTGCACACAGTGCACACCAACAGAGGACAGTGGTCCCTTTACTATTTTTGTTTGGTTTTTATGTTTCCTGAGACAGGGATTTTCCGTGTAACAGCCCTAGCTGTTCTGAAACTCGATTTGTAGACCAGGCTGGCCTCGAACTCACAGAGATTCACCTGCCTCTGCCTCCCAAGTGCTGGGATTAAAGGTGTGTGCCACTATCACTTGGCTTAATTAAGCTTTTTCTTTTTTCTTTTTTGTACCTTTTCTTTAAAGTTTATCACTGTATATATGAATTGTGCCTGGTATTAAATAAGAACATTTTCATACAATTATATAATGTTATATAATGTACTTTGAGCATACCCCACCTTATTTCTCATCTTCCCATTTCTGTCTGTCTTCCTGGAAGCCCCCTTTGCTCTAGACATTTTTCACTCTACATTCATGCCATGCATACATGGTTTTATACATCTATCCAAAATCTAGGAACAACAGATGAGGGAAACATACAATAGTTGCCATTCTGAGACTGGTCTAATTTATACGATTATCTCGGGTTGCATCCATTTTGCTGAAAACATAACTTCATTCTTCTTTGTGACTGAACACACATGTATATCTCACACTCCTCTGCTGTTGGACACCTAGGTTGGTTCTGTAATTAGACACATTGATTCTCAAGTACCTCTGTGAGATGCTGAAAATAGTAATGACTATTTTCAGATTTCTGAGGAGACTGCATAGTCATTCCCATGGTGGCTGCACCCGCTCACATTCCACCAGCATCATGTAAGAGTTCCCTTGGTCCACAATGGTACCAGCATTTATTTTTCTTTTGGAGAATGAGTACTGCATTAACATCATTTACACCCTCCTCCTCCCCCAAGTTCTGCTCGCTTTTTGTTTTTTTTTGTTTTGTTTTTTTCTCTTTTAACCATGCAACAAAACTTCTATTAACATTTTTAGCAAAGATTCAGCTATTACTAAAACTTGTAATTTCTAAACTTAAATTGGGGCAAATGGCTATAGTGCAGAGTAGTGCCATCATTGCCCACTAGGAATGCAGACTGAAGAATTAATAGCCACCCCTCCGATGGAGGACCAGGTGCAGGGTGACTCTTTCTGGATGCTGTAATCAGAAAGTGTGGCCATCTTCCAGCTGCTGGGGATGGTGGTGCCCTCTTTATCCTGGATCTTGTCCTTCACGTGGTGGTGCCATGGGCTCCACTTCTAGGGTTATGGTCTTGTCAGTCAGGTTATTTTGACCTGTTAACCAATGTGATGAAACCACAAAGCGCCTAGAGCACAGAAACACCTAGACACAAGGTCCACTGAAGAGTCTCTTGTCACTCTGTTTTGTTTTCTTCATGACTGCCATAATGGCTGGGGTAAATGAAAATTCAATGTAGCTTAATTTGCTTTAAAGTACTTTTTATTATTTTTAATTAAGTGTATTTATGTGTCTTCACCTGGCTGTTTGAATTTCTTTGAAGAACTGTTCACTAGCCCATTTCTTTTGAGTGGTTGTATTTTTTTAGAGTTTTGAGTTTTGTGAATGTTCTAGATAGTAATCCTGTCAGACAAACAAATTTATTCTCATTCAGGAACTGTCTCTCCATGTGGTGGTTTCCTTTTCTGTGCTAATTTAATGCATGAGGTCCTATTTGCCAGTAGTTGGTCTTATTTCCTGAACAATTGAAATACTGTTCAGAAAGTCCTTGCCTATGATTCTAGAAGTGGTTTTTTTTTTTTTTTTCTGTAACAATTTCAGCTTAAGGACTTACATTAAGGTTTCTGAAGCATTTGGAGTTGATTTTTTAGATGGGGTAAGAGGTAGGGATCTAGTTTTGTTCCATCTGTGGGTATCCAGTTTTTCCATCAATGTCTGTTGAAAAGGCTGTCTTTTCTCTAAGGTGTATTTTAGCATCTTTCTCAAAAATCAGGTGGCTGCAGCTGTGTGGGTTGATGTCTGGTCCCGTTTTACTCCACAGATCAGTCTGTTTTGCTGTTATCATGCTCATAGCTATACTGTGCAGCAAGAAAAGACAATGCCTGCAGAGTCAGGCCTGCTTTGTCTATCTCAGGGTCTTTTGTGCTTCCATGCAAATTTGAAGATGGCTCTTTTGCTTTTGTGAAGAACGGCACTGCCATTTTCATGGGCTCACACTGCATCTTCAGGCTGCCTTTGGCAGCTTAGCCTCTCACAGTATTCATATTCCCAATTCCTGAACATGGGAGGTCCTTCAAGTCTTTCATATTCTTGGTTAGGTTTATTTCTAAGTGTTTTTTCTTCAGTTGTGAAGAGATCCCTTCCCTGATTTCTTTCTCAGCAAGGTTGTTACTGGTAGATAGGAAGGCTACTGACTTTTGTATGTTAGTTTTGTGTCCTCTTTCTCCTGTGTGTACTCTGGGGATTGAACTCAGGCCAGCAGATGTGACAGCAAGCACCTTTACCTGCTGAGCCGTCTCACCGGCCCACAAGTCTGTTTTCTCCCACTCTGCTTATAAGTATTTATTAAAGGATCAGCTCACTCTCACTTAGGCCTGAGATCTTGTCTTTGTCTCTGAAACAAAGTTTTTTCTTTCTCACTATTCACTTTTTTTTCCCCTTGAGACAGGATCTATTACGTATCTCTGGCTATCCTGGAACTCACTATGTAGACCAGGCTGGCCTCAAACTCACAGAGATCCACCTGCCTCTGTCCCTCAACTGCTGGGATTAAAGGCAAGTGTCACCACACCTGTCCTAAACTCAATTTCCTTAAAGGACATGGATTACAGGACTCTCATGTAAACTTTTCATGGGTTTCCTTCACTTATCAAATTATGTTGATTTCCTAATTGGAAGCTCAAGATGGATCGTTGGCTATCTGTACACTACTTCTCTGCCTTTCTAATTACTATCCTGTGTAAACATCCATGCTTTAGTCAAAATGAAGGCCACCTGGGTGGCAAGTGCAACTCAGCAGAGTGTTTCCTACTCACCTAAGTGTGTGAGGCCCTGGACTAGACCCCTAGCATAAAATAACTTTTCAGGCTTCTACTCCTTCACCATACTTTATCATTTTTCTTTTATCCTAATTTTTATTTTCCTTCTCCCCTGAATATCCTCTTTATCAATCAAACACTGCTTCAGCATCTACTCTATGCCTCATGACAGAGCAGCACTGGGCACACAGGGAATGATAATCACAGCTCCTTACAAGGCTCATATAACCCAATGGAAGAGTCAGAGAGAGATAAGTAATGACAACTCATCACATTTCTGTTAGAATTGGTTTGTTTCTCAAAAACTGTCAAGAAATAGAGCCAGTGAGATGGTTCAGTGGGGAAGGGTGCACTGTCCAGAAATAGAGCCAGTGAGATGGTTCAGTGGGGAAGGGCGCACTGTCCAGAAATAGAGTCAGTGAGATGGTTCAGTGGGGAAGGGCGCACTGTCCAGAAATAGAGCCAATGAATGGTTCAGGGCCGGGGACACTTGCCCTCAAGCTCAGCACCCCGAATCTGACAGCTAGGCCCCCGATGGTGGAAGGAGACAAGAGTTACTCCAGGTGTTCTCTGACTTCACGCATGCTACAGCACACACCGCTTCAGTAAATTAAAAAAATAAAAAAGAAAGACTGCCAAGAAAGGGAATCTTGGGGGCTAGAGAGCTGGCTCAGTGGCTAACAGCACTTGTGGCTCTTGCAGAGGACCTGGGTTCTATTCCCAGAACTTGCATGGCAGCTCACAGCCATCCCTAACTCCAGTTCCAGGGGATCTGACGCCCTCTTCTGGCCTCCATGGGTGCCAGGCACACACATACATTCAGGCAAAACACTTATACACGTAAAACACACAGAGAAGCGCGCGCACACACACGGAGTATTTCAGTAATATTGGCTTAAGAGGCCAAGCTCAGTGTGCATGTATTCACTTCTAACATTACACACTGCTTCTGCCACTCAGCAATCTACTTCAAAGGACAAAGACAAATTTTAATAAATCATAATTGTGTATCACTGAACATATTGAAGGAAAAAAGTCCCCATTTGCAGTTAATGATTCTAGCAATTTCCCAGCAATCGAGCGTCCCTTGTTGACCCCCTCACCAAGCCTCCTAAGTGTCGCTGTGTCTCTTCTGACTGTGCTAGGCCAGGCTGCTATTTCAGCAAATCTTCTAGTCCAGATTTTATTCTTCGGCCAGAATGCTTCTCAACAAAAATACAGGAGAAACTCTCTGTAAGCATCATCTCTTGTAAGCTTTCTCAATTTACATTGAGGAACATGTGATACACTTGTGATGACTCTTGGAGACACGTGGTCACTAGTTTTTCCTCTTTGCTCACCACCACCTGAGGACATCAGCCGTGTTCTTTCTACTCATGGTGCGATCCTGTCAGGTTCAGCACACAAAGGTGTGGAAAACTGAGCAATAACAATACCACACTGTTCAGGAGACTTAAAGATCAGGCAGATTAGTGGAAGAGTAAATTAATTTTATTGACTGATGAAAAACTAAAGTCATAAGAAGTTTGGACAGAAAACAATAATCAAGTTCTGCTGGTATTCTATATTTTCTTTTAACTTTAAGCCAAAAGAACATAAAATTGTAGACTATGAGTGAGCTAGTTACTTTTAGTTCCTTCAACAAAAACTGCAGTCTAGCAGTTACACAGCATTAAATATACACATTTTTTTGCAGAATTCTGAGAAATCTGTGTGTCGACCTCAAAGGCTGCCGTAATCACCTACACTGGTCAGACTCAGGGTTCCTTTTCCCTCTTCTGCCGCCCTGTGAGGAGAAACAGCACATTCCTTCAGCTTGGGGCATTTTCAGTTTGCAAACACACAAAATCAAAGTGCAGCTAGGCATTCTACCTGGCTGCTTTCACAGTTACTTTTACAAAGACTACATAAAGTAATTGTTTAGGCTGATTAAGTAAGATCACAAATACCTCATTTTCCAGAGTTTACTTTGTCCTAAATACTTTAAAAAGTACAAAACAAGCAAAGTTTATTCATTTCATATAATCAGCAAATTTGGTAATTCAGGTAATTTCTTTTTTGGTAATTTAATTTATAATTTATGTATAGTTTTGTTCTTATTTAATAGCATTAGAATTTAAAAATTTTCAATTTATTTGTATTTTCTGTACATGGGTGTTTTCCTGCATATACGTCTGTGTACTTTAGTGTCTGGCTCCCAGGGAGGACAGAGGAGATTGTCGGATCTCATGGAACTAAAGTTACAGAAGGTTGTGAGCTGCCTGCCATGTGGGTGCTGGGAACTGAACCTAAGTCTTCTGGAAGCACAGTCAGTGCTCTTAACTGTTGACCCAACTCCTCAGCATTAGAAATTTGATTTTCAGGCTGGGACGAAGGGCAAAACACCAACACACATAAAATAAAAATAAGCACTTAAAAGTTTAAGAATACACTAAAAGTCTATTTCTCAGCCGCACTAGGGACATGTCAGGCGAGGCTCGTGTGAAAGGGTAGTGGCTTCTCTGATTTCTTTCACCCTTTGGGCCTACAGCATCCATTTGAAGTCAAATACATCAACTTTCTCAATTAAAACCCAAAAACTCTTAAATATATGAATGCTGTTCTTCACTCCTGATCACACACAAAGTTCCAAAAGATTTATTCATTTAGGGGGAAAATGTACTGATTTTGCGGGAAATGAAATGTATAATAAACATACATTTAAAAAGAGATTTATTTCCTGTTAGTAGGAAAATAAAAATAAGTTTAGAAAACATTCCTTTAAGGTAAATAGCCACTATGCTCAGGCCCTACTATTGTGTATCTTAAAATTCTTAGCATGCTTCTCAATGATCAGAATTACCAATAACACAGCTGGATGAGTATCACTGGCTATGACGTTGCCAGTGTGAAAATCCAATGAGATTAAAACAAAACCAAAAAAACCCCCAAATAACAGACATACAAGGATTGCTTTCAACATCTCATTATGACCAGGCTGGCCTTGAATTCACAGAGAAACACCTGCCTCTGCCTCTCAAGTGCTGGGATTAAAGGCATGTGTCACCATGCCAGGCTGGATTAAATACTTTTTATATTTTCTATGCCTCCAATGGCTTTCAAGCCTTTTTTTTTAAACCATGATTTCACATTGATGATTTACATGTATATGTGTAAGTATGGAAAAACATATCTGACACATTGATTAATGGAAAATATTGATGATTACTCTCAACTGTTTCATACAGGAAAAAAGAGCTGAGTTATCTTCTTAAGCCTAGCAGAATCTAATATCATCAAAATAATAATGAATGCAAATAACATCAATGGCTACAAAATCACTGGTGAAAGATCACACAATCTCAAAGTATCAATCTCTGCCCACTTGTCGGTTAAAAAGAGCAAAATCTACATCCAAGTCACCAAATGTGTGATGCTGTGGTGTGTCACCTGCGCCTTTCTGTTACATAACTAACAGTACAGACTGTCTACATAGCTCTGATGCACTTCTCAAATCACTTTAGTTATTGTTGTACATACCAATATCTAGAATTACCTTTATATTTTCGAAAATGTACATTATCTGGCCAATAACAAAAGCATTAACATGGAATTGGAGAAATGGCTCAGTGGTTAAAAGCCAGAGGACCTGGAGACTTACAAGTGTTTCTAACTCTAGCATCAGGGGATCAACACACTCTTTGGCCTCTACAGGTACCCCTCCATACACACACAACTCATACACATAAATAAAACAAATCTATTTTTCTTTTACAAAATCATTAATATATCTGGTGAACACATTTTCACTTAAAAATAAAATAGCACATTTATTCTTACATTGGATCTACTCCAAATGTAGCTATAAAGAAAAATTCAAAATTATAAAAACATACCTGGTATTTGGCTAATTCTGCCTGTAATACTTTCACTTTAGATCTTTCCTGTTCCAATGCGGCATGAAGTGAAGTCACCTACAGCCAAATAGTCAATAAGAAAACTCTTTTTGCCTTTTTTGGAAAGTACACTAATTCTGAACATACCCAGTGTGGTAAAATCTGACAACTGTCAGTATCAGAGGTGCCCTTCCCATGGTTTCCATGAGACACCACAGGTGTGCACAGACAGGAGGAGAGGCTCACGGTGTAGAGAACACACCAGAACAGGGTAAGCTCTGCCTGCTGTTGGTGTTCATGTCCACTAACTCACAACCTTACCTTTTCAGACTCTTTAGGACATACCTACCATCTTTAATTAAGTAAGCAGAAACTCTCTTTGCTAGTACACAGTAATAATGAATACACTACTGTTTTCTCGCTTGCTTACTGGGCAGTACTTCTGTTTTGTGGGGCATAACAATTAAGACCTCAGAACAGCATGAGAAACACAGTCAACAGGTCCCAAAGCCCCTCACCTGGACCGTCAGCTCATTCTTGATGCTCTGTGATTCATCCACTTGCAGGAGTATCTCTGCCTTGTCTTTCACTGAGGGAAAGAAAGCAGCGGCGTCACTGTTCAGTCCCTGCAGTGCCGAGTGAGATAAACTCAGGGCAGCACAGTCAGAACAATCGTTTCTTCCTCTTTGCTTAATGCACGTCCTTCTGGGGCCTGACTGGCCTTATTTCTCACTAGTACATACTGGTCATTATTACAGCAACAGGTTTTTGTTTTGTTTTTTAGTAATTTAATTTTTTTCTGTGATGTTGAAATACTATCCGCATAGATATGATTAATTTTTCAATTTACAACCATTAGGACAGGTATATAAGAAAACTGAAAAATTATAAGAAAAAAGAAATATCTTGAATATTTATCTATTTATTAGGTCATGTTTATATTTTTTGTTATACTTATTTATTTTGTGTGTGTGCATGTGTGTGCATGTGCCACAGTCCACATGTGTCAGTATAACTTGTGAAAGTCAGTTCTTTCATTCTATCATATAAGTTCCAGGAATCAAAGTCAGGTTTATCATGTTTGGCAGCTCAGTTTTACCCACTCAGCCATCATTTTACTTTGTAGCCCAGGCTGGCCCTTGAGCTTCTGATCCTCTTGCCTTAGTTTCCAAGGTGCTGGGATTACAGAAACAAACCACGATACCTGATTCTTGGCTATTCTTAAAAGAAACATTTTATTTTATTTCTTTTCATTTTTTTGAGACGGGGTCTCATCACTATGCAGCTCTGGCTGGCCTAAAACTCAGAGATCCCCCTGCTCCTACCTCCAGAGTGCTGGATTAAAGGTGTGCTCCACCATGCCCGGCTTGGTGCAACAGTGTGTAAGAACTCGAATCTCAGCCCTCTTACCTGAATAGTGGTAGATGTGCACAAAGCCAGGTGCTTGAAGAGGCCTTACAGTGGTGATATTACAAAAAACTATCCAACTTGTATCACTCTGGGAAATTGTGTGTGTGCGCATTGATAAAACATGTAATTTGGTGATTTTTCTTCAGATATTAAGATTAACTCTAATTCTAAAAAACACTCAAAGGCTGAGTGTGGCGCACACGCCGCTAACCCAAGCACCTGAGAGGCAGAGGCAAGTGGATCTTTTCGAGATCAACACCAGTCTGGTCTACACAGCAAGTTTCTGGCCAGCCAGAGCTGCACAGCAAGACCCTATCTCAAAGAAACAAACTAAACAAGGGAGCACTGCTGCTCGTATGGAGAGCCGGAGTTCAACCTGCACACCCACACGGTGGCCACAGCTGTGTGAGTCCAGCTCCAGGGAACCCATGCCCCTCTTCTGGGGTTTCTGAGCACCAGGCACACTCACAATACATTTACATACACACAGGCAAAACACCCACACACCTCAAATAATTAAACAAACAACCCTTGCACCCAAAAACACGTGAATCACTTACTTTCTCCTTCCTGAAGCATTTTTAATAATTGTCCATTTCTTGCTTTTACTTCTTTATACTTTGTCTAATAATCAAAGAAAAGAAATTTTAACTTTTTAAAAGTAAATGATAAATTATGGTCCACTTTTAATTTATTGGGCTGTACATTCTGTGCTTGTTTAAAAACATAAATCATTTAGGAAATAGACAGAGGAAGATGTAATTGGAACTACTCAATTAAATCTCGGAAAACTTAAAAAGGGCCAACAAGATGGCTTCAAGGGTAAAGCTAATGACATGAGTTGATCCCTGGAACCCACACAAAGGTGCAAGGACAAAACGGACTCCACAGGACTCAAGTCTACATGTGTTGTAACACACGCACGCGCGCGCGCGCGCACACACACACACACACACACACACACACACACACGCACGCACGCACGCATGCGCACACACTCATGCCCCCCCCAACTAATAAAATTAAACTTAAAAAGTTTCAAAGTAGTAGGGGAATAAAAGTGAAGTCAGGAAATTATTAAAATTTCCTGAAGGATTTTTTTCTTTCTTCCCAAATAAAAACTCTAAATAATTCCAACTAATTTCGATAAAAATCAAAAGAAAATGGCTTCCTGCAAGTTTTACCATAACTCTCTGTCTGTTCTACAACTGCTATGGTCAGATACAGAACTATCAGCACTACTGGACTTTTTCAGTTCCTTTTCCCAAATGTCTTGGTTCTTCTAGTCCTAACAAACAATACACCATACATTCATGAATAAGAGGAACTGTGCTCCCACATGGACCATTTGAATTTTTGATAATTATCTCCCCAAATTGTCTTCACTCAACATTTCTTTTAGTACTCTAAATACCTTTAAACACTAATAAGCAATTAGTGAAAACATTAAATGTTATAAAAAGATAAAAGCCTAAAAATGTCAGTATAAAAACCTCTTTTTTTTTTTTCTCTCAGTAGGTACCAAGTGTGTGCAGAATTTACCAGTTTCATTTTTATTTCCACAGTGCTGGGGTCCAACCTAGGGCCTCACCAAACATACAAATCAAGGAGCTACCACTGAACGATGCCAGAGCACAGTGGACTTAAATATATTTTATTTTTATTTATTTATTTTGGGAGAGGGGTTGAGACAAGGTTTCTCTGTCTAACAGTCCTGGCTGTCCTGTAGACTGGGTTGGCCTCAAAGTCACAGAGATCCGCCTGCCTCTGCCTCCCGAGTGCTGGGATTAAAGGTGTGGGCCACCACCACCTGGCTTTCAATATATTTTAAATTCTATAAAAAGTGACTTTTACTAAATGGTACTCTATCCAATTAAACTGCTGATAATAATTATTTACTGAGTAATACTGCAGTCCACAAAGGGAACTGAAGTGTCTGCCACAGTAAATATAAAGAAAGCAGAAACACTTAAGACATTGAGATGAAAGAGAGATGCTGCACGCGGCAGCCCCAGGACCCTGGCATGCCCACAGGCCCCAGGAAATAACCAGTAGACTAACGTTGGTCAGAAGACACCCATGCCTAGGAACTGGAGCATCTTTGTCCAAGTCTAAAGGGGAGCAGTAAGAGAGTGCTTCCTGAGTTTGTGGTTAAAAACCACTGTTAAGGGCTGGAGAACCAGCCCAGAGTCAGGAGCCCTTGCTGCCCCTGCAGAGGACCCACCCAGTTTGGTTCCCAGCACAACTTGTAACTCCAGCTCCAGGGGATCTGACACCCTCTTCTGGATTCCATGGGTACCTGAACACACATGTGCATTCATACAAGCACATATACACACAAATAAAATTTTAAAACTAATCTTTAAAAGAAAACAATTGTATACATAGTATTAGGAAGGGTATGGAGAAATTAGAATCCCTGTGCATTTCTGGTAAAAAAGGAAAAATAACAGTTGCTTTGAGAAAGCTTGGAAGTCACATAAAAAGCTAAAACAGAATATCATATAATCAATTCTACTTTTAGTTTCTCAAAATATTCAAAGAACTCAAAGCAGGATCCCAGATACTTGTGCACTCATACACAAAACGTAGTCTGTACATTTAGGAGGATGTTATTAAGTAAGGTAGGACAAGGAATGAAGTTCTGATAAATGCTACAACACAGAGGAACCTCAAAAACATACGTTAAAAGAAATAAGCCAGAAAGAAAAGACAAAAACTGTGTGAGCCTCCAAAACGAGGAATCCACAGCAGGCAATTCACAGAGATGGAGAGAGGGCGGGAACAGCAGGCTGCTTCAGGTCAGCGTCTCTGCAGGGGACAGCAATACCGGTCACTCGACAGTGGGAAGGTAGTACTTTATGTTACTGGGCCTTTAATCCCAGCACTCGGGAGGGAGGCAGAGGCAGGCTAATCGCTGTTTGAGGCCAGCCTGGTCTACAGAGTGAGTATGGTCGGGGCTACACAGAGAAACCCTGTCTCAAACAACAAACAACAAGCAAACAGACACAAAGAACAAGTAACTAAATAAACTTAATGCTACTGAACCATATGCTTAAAATAGTTTATACAGCTAAATGCATGTAACATACAATGTATTTTACAATATGTATTTCCTAACAAAATTTATACCATTATTCAGACTTTAAGTGAATAGTCAGTTTAAAAGACTGAATAACAGAATGACTATTTCTAGTAACTGAATAATAAACATATATAAAAACCCATAAAATGTAAATTCCTAATTCTTTTACAGGAATGGATACACACCTCCCACTGGGTGATCACAGCTTTGAGCTTCTGAATTTCAGCATCCTTCCTTTCAAGTTCTAACTTTAGTCTTTCAATTCTTCCGTCTTTTAGACCCACTTCCTGAAAAAAAGAAAAATACTGCTTGTGACCAAGATTGTTCCACCTATCATTGTTTACAATAGTTCTTTGAGAAAATATTAAGAGGAAAAATACTGTATTTTTTTTAGACAATTTTGAATTACTACATTTCTACCTTACTCAATTACATGATCCTAGTTTCATACAGTGATAGCAAGTGAGGTTTTTATGACAAGCTGTAAGTATACGCTAGACCAATATCCAGTCCTAGAAATGACAGTTCTGTCCTAGAATAAACACATGCTGGAGTTCCCTGACGAGGCTCTACATAGCCCCGGCTGTCCTGGAACTCACTATGTAGACCGGGCTGGCACTGAATTCAAGACACTCTCCTGCCTCCGCCTCCCGAGAGCTGGAATTAAGGTGTGCGCCATTAGGCCTGGATCTATTCTGATGAATGTAAACTGGCTATATTTTCCTCAAGAGTGATGCACACAGATGCTCAATGAGTAGTTTCTAGGTGCCAGGGAAGAGACTGAAACATTTTTGTCTTTATGAAACTTGTCTAGTATAGCATGGGCATTTCACATAAAGCGCGTGTGCATATAGAAGCCAAGGTTTAAGCTGTGAGGTAAACTCTGGGCAGTGTTATGAGGGAGATGGCAGGAGATGACTTTGAGCTGGGTGTGGTGACATGCTGTGGTCCTGGTGCCTAGAAGGCTAATACTAGAGGACTACTTGAGCCCACAAGTTAAACCCAAGCAAGACAAACAACAGTCGCTCTTCATTTTTCTGAAAACATTTGAAATAATTGTCTGGCCCTGTGCCCATCTCACTGTTTATGAGGTCAGTAGCCAGGGTGTTCTCTGTTGAAGGGTCTTATGTTTTTGTCCTGTGATTTTCCCATCTGTTGGTTTGAGTATCTTCCTATTCTGGGGTGTGTGTGTGTGGATCTTTTTCTTACTCAGTCTTCTCTTGAAGACTAGATCCTGGTACACTTACCAAAGCAAAAAAACAAATTGCCTTTAGAAGTGGCTTCTGCTTCTCTCCTCCCTGACAGGGCTAAGTGTGGAGCTGTCCTGGCTCCCTGTGCTGCCTGTCTGTGTTCCAGCTCTTTCCAGGCTCCTTTTATTTCTTTTGTGGGTTTCTAAAGCTATTTCTCTCTCTCTTTGGAATAGAATCTATTTTTTCCTTATTCTGCTTTTCTTAAAAGTTTCACTGGTTTACACAGAGGCATTCTCAAGTCTGCCATCTTGTGTGTAAATCTGATATTTATTTATTGTGTGTGTTTTCACAGTGAATTTTAAAATACACCGTGTAATGAGAAAAGTCACTAAATAATAGTTCATATATATATATATATATATATATATAATTCATTCTCCAGATGTGATGTCTCAGGTCTGTAATCCTAGTGCTTGTGAGGCTGAGGCAGGTAGATCCCTGTGAGTTTGAGGCCAGTCTGGTCTACATAGCGAGTTCCAGGACAGCCAGGGCTGTTACAAGGAAAAACTCTGTCTCAAAAAAGAACTGAAAAGAATTAGCACAGCTTAAGTCATGCCCATCAGCTAGCTTCAGGTTTCAAAGATACTGCCGCACTGGTTTTGAAATGGCAATTCTAATCTCCATTCTGCCTAGTTTGCTCTGCCATCCTGTCTCCTTGAAACTGTTATCTAGCCCCATGCATACTCTTCATGTTCCTTCAATTCTCCCTAGACTCTGCAATAAAATTATTAGTACTAAATAAAAAGTTTATTCTGCTCAAAAATTTCCTGAAATTCTTTCCTGTCTACAGACTAAATTGCAAACTAGGCTTTAAATGCTCCACAATGCTTTCCAATCCACCTCTGCAAACTTATACAATCTCCTCTTTTCACTAAACTGATTTCTGTTTCACTGTTCATGGTTTTACTGAAGACAAAAACTCATCATGATGTCCATTCCCAACTACACTAATGTGCTATTTTTATACTCACGACTCTTATCTATACAACATCTATAAATACATATTGTGTACACAGACTCAACGTTAAGTATTTAAACTGAATTTCTAACTCTAACCATCACATAAGAAGGAAACAATTATGTCCACTGCAGTATGGCAGATGAGTTGCAACGCTGATATTTTTATAATATTTGATTTCAACAACTGTTCTCTTTCATTACACTCCACTGTCATTCAGGCTTTATATAGCACTAATGCCTCCTAATCATCTTAACTACATTTATATACTCAACTTAGGTCTACCGAGAGAGCAGGGCCTGAGAGACAGGGACCACCCTCTCCAGCACCAGTTCTTAACTATACACACAGCACAGCATGTGCTCCATATTCATTAGTGAACTAACTGCACATACACATTATCCTCTCAGAATAATGACTAAGATAATATCCTAAAACTGTTACTTTATACAAATAGAGTTGAAATCTGTCATTTCCCTTATTTTAAAAAGAAAAAGAAAACTTCACTGTGATTTTAAGAGAATTTTATTGTACATGCCTGGTTGTGCTCCGGAGCGGGACAATTATCTGTTCCGTTATGTTCTGTAAGTTGTTCTCTTCTTTTTTCTCTAGTAAGAATCTTATGAACATCATCTTCCAGTCTATTGAAGAATCCCCCATCGTGTGATAAAGTCTGAGAAGAATTCAATTCCTGTCAAAATAAGTCATGATTTTCTATCATTCCACACAAACACACACTAAACCCTGTGAGTCATTAGGAGGGTAGTGGAAGGGAATGGTTGCTAGGAGACAGGCCACCACTCTACCCTGTCTCTGGAAGAGAAGCAGGAGATACACTTGCAGGTATCTTTTTCTTACTCCTTCGCATTTTGGAGTGTCATATGATTGACAGTTTTTAGAGGGAGGGTCTTACTACAGAGCCCAGACTGGTCTGGAACTTGTGATCCTCCTGCCTCAGCTTTTCAAATGCTGAAACTACAGCTCTGTGACATCATGCCCAGGCACGACTTGCCCTTTAAATTTTTATTATACACACACCACACAGTTCACCCTGTTAGCGTGTAAAAGTCCCAGGTTTTGTACTCTCAAGAGTTGTACAACTGTCACCACAAACAGCTTTATATACTCTTCACTCTGCATTCATTAGCAGTCACTCTGTCCCTCATACTCTTCTCCACCCTAGGCAACACTAATTTTCTGTTTCTATAAACTTATCTATTCTGGACATTTAGTATAAACAGAATAATTGTGTTTTCTGTCTCAAACTTCTTTGATCTAGCAATATGTTTATAAGATTCTTCTACGTGATAACATGGATTAGTGCTTAATTTTTATTACCAAGTAAATACCCCATTTTACATTGTGTTTTTCTTGTCACTGGTGGATAGACATCTCTTTTGCCTGCTATGAGTGGTGGGGCTATGAGTATTTATACACAAGATGTTTATAGACAAGTTTCCAATTCTGTTTGGCATATACCTAGGAGTAAGGTTATTGGATGGTTTTAACCCTCTGAAATCTTCCAGCTAGTGTTCCAAGCAGCTCACTATTTTACAATCAGCAACATGAGACAGTTCTAATATCTATATTCTCACACTTATGTTATTGTGTTTTTATTGTAGACACCCTCATGGATGTGAACGACTATTTCATCAGGGTTTTGAGTTGCATTTTCACTATGGCTAACAGAGCAGGCCTGCTTTCATGTGTTTACTAGACACTGTATAATAATCTCTTGAGAAATGTTTACTTAGCACCTTTGCTCATTTTTAACTGAGTTATTTGCCTACTCACTTTCAAGTTACAAGGATTTCTGTCTTCTGGCTGGAGAGATGGCTCCATGGTTAAGAGTGTGTACTGCTCTTGCAGAGGGCTGGAGTTTAGTTCCCAGCACCTATTGTGGGTGACTCACAGCAGTCTATATAACTCCAGCTCCAGGGGATCTGACACTATCACTCACGTACACATACCTGTCCCTTCAACATGTCCCCCAAAACATACAGGCATATTTACAGTAAATACAGATAAAAAAGAAAATAATGTATTTTAAAAAGCTGAGCATGGTGACAAATGTCTATAATCCAGTGAGTAGCAGAGGGGTCAGAAAGATCTGTCCTGCTGAGGACCTCTGATGGTGAATCTTTTCTGTTGACACCCTCCCATTCTCAAGTCTGTGAATAAAATGGTTTGACACCCTCCCTCAATATAGTATATAAAATGAAGAGCAACTGAGGAAGACACTGGACATTGACTTTTGGCCCCCACAAACACACACATGCACACATACATGTACATGTACACATACAAAACCTTATTTTAAATAAATATCTCATTAAATATTATTTGTATTTTCTCTCATTCTAAGGGTTGCCTAAGCAAGTATTTCATGTCCTCTATATAACACAAAAGTTTTAGTTGCCCCTCGTTTTTTTTTTTTTTTATTTTTAACTAGGGGTTGAGTTCAGGATCACATGCTAGGTGAGCACTTCACCACTTTACTTCCAATCTTCTTCTAAGAGTGTTGGAGTTACAGCTCTAACATTCAGCAAACCTTTCCACTTAGATCTGCCTTTGTGGTGTCGGGGTTCAAACCTTGGCATGGCCTCACTGATGTCAGTGGTGGGCACTTGACCACAGGAGCTGCAACTCCAGTCTGCCACTTCAACCCTTGTGTCCAGGCAAGCTCCAGCCTCTCAAGCAGCTGGACTGCAGTGCATGCTCTTCTGCTTGGTTTTAGGTTTTACATAGACTTCTGTGATCTACTTTGAGTTAGTGTCTGTGTATGGTATGCAGAAGGCATCCAAATGTATTCCTATGCATACAGTTATCTCACATTTATTCAAGGAGAAGACTATTTTTCCATACTGAGATGTCTTGGCACTCATACTCAAAAAATCAAACAAATACAGATATCAAGGTTTATTTCTGGACTCTTAATTCCATCCGCCTCTGTGTCCATTCTCAAGACTCAATTCTCAGTATCAAATTGACTTGATTACTACAGTTTAGTAATTGCACTGTTTTACACTGCATTTAAAATTCACTTTGATGCCAGGTGGTAGTGGTGCACACCTTTAATTGCAGCATTAGGAGGCAGAGGCAGGCAGATCTCTGTGAGTTCAAAGCCAGCCTGGTCTACAGAGCGAGCTTCAGGAGAAAGGGCTACACAGAGAAACCCTGTCTTGAAAAATAAAAAAAAAAAGCCATTTTGACATAAACTGTGCTTACAAATAAAGACAATACGTTAAAGAGGAGTGATTTTAACACAAACTATCAAATTACTTAAATTTGGAAATTTTACACATTCTCTAATAGAAGTAAGATTTCCCCTCTCGTTATCAAGCACAGAGACTGACAGAAATTCTCCTCCTGTCCCCCTCAATTCCATACCCTTAGGCTACAGTACTGAGTTTTATCAAGTTCAACTGTATTTGTAAACAGTGATCCACAGTTAAATGGCTGCTCACTGTTTTACTTCCATTTCACCTAAGAAAGTGAAATGTTTGAATGAAAGTTTACTTGTCTATCAATACAAATGAAATTGTTAACTACCTGTGGAGAACTTCATGTTCTATAGAGCACTAAGACCCTGCTTTACCTGAATCTCATAAACACCAGGAGAGGCTGACAGAGTCATCAAGGCTTGGGATGCCCAGGAGCCACCACAATGTGGCATAACCATACTTCCAAGTATTGCTTTATAAAACATGTCCACTATATGGTAAGATCTCATTTAAAGCATAAAACAGTGCTGAGCTTCCATGGAAGGAGCACCAGGCTGACATCAACTAACCAGCTTCTGGATTTACACTAGTCAGTGGCCCTGTTTGACTGACAGTTTTGGAGACAGATCTCACTATTCACTCTGCAGCTTTGCAGGCCTTGGATTCACAGAGACCTACACCTCCATACTGGGATCAAGGACATGCACACCATACCTACCATCTTCTGACAGCGGCTCCCCTTACCAGTGTTCCTATCCCCCAAAACAATTTTAGCCCCTCAATATTTCTGAATGATACACACATAAAAGCACATTTAGAATTGGCAAAAAGAGAAGACTGTTCAATAATAATACCAGAATTTTGACAAACACATGAAAACATACTAATTAGTTATCCTGAAAATGCAACTGAAATTCAATGGCATACACTACATTCCCACTACTGTGGTGATGTTTTATTTGTGCTGAAATGTGATATTTTATTTGTATGTTAATAAATAAAGTTTGCTTGGAGATCAGAGGTCATAGTGAGCCACAAACAGAAGTCAGGTGGTGGTGGCACATGCCCTTAATCAGATCACATGGCAGGCAGAGTCTGTGTGTTCAAGGACATAGCCGAGCATGGTGACACACGCCTTTAATCCTAGTACCAACCATAGAGACCTGGAGATCTGTATAGACACAGTGATGAGGAAGTGAGGTGGCTGGGCTTACAGCCAATGAGAAAGCAGAACAGGAAGGCAATAAAGGTGCAGGTTAGACAGGAAAATGTTCTTTTGGGAAGCTACAGCAACATGGTTAGTTGGCGGCTATTGCTCTGATCTCTACGGCTTGCACCACTGTATTTGGCTCTTTGTTTCTTATTTAATAAGACTGTTTAGAAATTCGCCTACAATTGGCACCCAATGTGGCAAGAATGTCTTTAAACCGTTGGTGGCCTTATAGCTTTACATCATTGGTGGGGATAGTAAATGGAACATCCACTCTTTAAAACAACCCGACAGGCTCTTGACAGCTAAATAGCGTCAACCAGGTCTCCTGGTGCAGGCCTACAATCCCAGATAGTGCAAGGCTGAAGTAGGAGGAGAATCAGGTCAAGGCTTGCCTGTGATAGAGAGTTCAACGCCAGCCTAGATAACTTTGTAATGAAATGCTTTCCTAGCTGCTCAAGGCCCTGGACCTGATCCTCAGAACATTACAAAGAGGCAAACATTTTCAATCCCTGCCTCTGCAAAAAAGAAAAATATACTATACAGCCTAAGCAATTTCAGCCCTACAGAGAAAAACACAGAACCACATAAATATTATCAACAGTTTGTAACTGAATACAAAACATTTCCACAATGTTCAGTAATAAAGCTGAATGAACTATTGTTTACTTGTTTGAGACAGTCTCACTCTGTAGTGCAGGCTGGCCTGGAACTATGTGGACCAGGCTGGCCTTGCCTCTTCAGTGTTGGGATACAGTGTGCAACTATGTCTAGCTGAATAATTACTGATACATGCCACAACATAAATCAACCTAAAAACACTATGCCAGGTGAAAAAGCCAATCATAAAAGACCACACATAGTCTGTTCATAGGTTACCAGAAAATGTAAATCTCGAGAAATCAAAACAGAATAGTCATTGCCAGGGACTCAAGAGGGGAGCATTTACAAGGGAACTCTGGGGAATTATAGGCTATTCCAAATCTAGACTGTGATTATGGTTGAATAACTTCTTAAATACACTACAAATGGGGCTGGGAGTTTAAAAAAGCAATTGTTTAATATATCTGAGACCCTGGTTTGATTCTCTGTCTTTGTTCATGACTTAGTTATACACATGCAATGGTAAATTAATTATATAACTCAATAAAGCTGTTATTTTCAATTATATTTTGTTTACTGAAGGGGGTAGAAGCCAGAGAAGAACTTGTTTTCTGCAAGAGTTAGTAGTCTTCTGTCACATGGGTCCCAGGGATTGAACTAGGATCATCAGGCTTGGCAGCAAGTGCTTTCCCATGAGCTACATTACCAGTCAGTAAAACTGCTTGTAAAAAAGCCACCCACGACCTCGTTTCTCTTGAAAACTAGAGCATGACCTACCAGTGCCTGTGCCCTTCATCATCTCCCACACTCAACTTCTTGCCTCCACAAAGTAACCATGACCCTGAATTTAGTGTTTATCACCTCCATCTTTTTTGTTATTAGGTAAACAGCATTCAACAATATAACTTCATTCTGTTTGTTTCATTTCACTTGTATACTTCTTGACTTAGGTATTTTTTGCAATAGGGACACCATGGCCTAATCTGCATGAGGCCTACATTACAGCTGCTGATCTCTCAAGTCTCTTCTAATCTAGAACATACCCCTTTCTACAACCCACTTTTTCTTCACACATTCTTATTGGAGAGACCAGGTGAGTTGTTAGACAAAAATCCATTCCCCAGATTTGCTGGGAATCAACCTAGGGCCTTATTCACAGCAGGCAAATGCTCCGCCATCAGCAGCATCTCCAGCTGCTTAACTGCTTCCTTTAGGATTCGTTTCACTTGCACATCTGAGCCCGGAACCTCATGTAGCATAGACAGCCCTCTTAAGACTTGACTTATATTTAAGTCTGTTAAGCACTGTTTTTGAGCACACACAAAACTTTAAAGGATAGTTTTGCTTATCCTTAAGTTATATCATTACTTCATAAACCTCTGTGTGATTACTCTAAAATAAGTATTCTACTAAAGATAAACATCTGGATTTATTCTAGTCTTTTCTTGGGTAAGATGAAGGGTAAGGCCTGGTCATCACACACACAAATACCAATATTAATGTACATGGTTCCCAGGTGGTCACATATGTAAGCTTCTCTAGAGCAGGTATATCTGTGATGGCCACACAATCTTATCTTGTATATGTTTGTGTATGTTTGAGTGCTTCTGTACATGTGTGCAGAGGTCAGAGGCACCCTTCTTTGTCACTTCCCACCTATTCCTTAAGGCAGGATCTCTCTCTGATCCTGGCGTTTGTATCAACTCACAGGCTGTAGTTAAGCTAGCAGGCCCCAGTAATCCTCCCACTTCTGCCCCTCTCGGAACTGGGGTTACAGGATAAGTGCGATCCTCAGCCTCTGACATCTGAGCTCAGGCCTTCACAACTACACCACAACACTGCACTACTGAGCATCTCTCCAGCCCAACATTTTCTGATTTCTAAGGGTTCCATATAACCTCTTACATCCATCTTTATAATTAAAGATCTCTCTCTTTTTTTTGTTTTGGTTTTTCGAGACAGGGTTTCTCTGTGTAGCTTTGGAGCCTGTCCTGGATCTCGCTCTGTAGACCAGGCTGGCCTCGAACTCACAGAGATCCACCCACCTCTGCCCGAGTGCTGGGATTAAAGGCGTGCGCCACCACTGCCTGGCTAAACATCTCTTAATGCACTGCAATACACAATCTTCACAACGGTCCATCTAAACATGCTGCCCCACTAGTCAAGTGTTTGTAATGTATTCCAAGAAGCAGCCACCAGTGGTGTTCCTCAAATGAACTACCACAGATGACACTAGTTGGCTCTTCCCTTCTACCAAATGGTCTCAAGGATCAGATTCGGGTTGTAAGCTTGACAGCAAGCACCATCATGTGCTGAGCCATCTTGCCAGCCTTTTGGTTGTTTTGTCTTTTTTTTTTTCTGGATTTTTCTGTTGTTTTGGCTTTTAGTCACAGGATCTTGCTATATGTTTGCTATAGCTTTGCTATATTTTTAGCCTTGAGCCAAAAATCTCCTGCCTTTGCCTTCCAAGTGTGAGATTTGTAAATGTATGTCACCACACCTAGAAGGGTAAGCATTTTTAAAGGTTTTTTGGTGTGCCACATTTAGGGTGGCATGTGTACCAGAACACATGCAGAGATCAGACAACAAGCTGTAACGGTCAGTTCTCCTCCACCATGTGGGTCCACAAAGGTGGACAGCATGTAAGGAACAACATCTGCACTTGTTTCCTGGCCTCCACACACAACCATGCACACACATGCATGAACACACACCTGTGCAGACACACGCTTTCCCCAGTACAAAAGAATGAACGCACTACAAACACAAAAATTAGCACAGGGCAGTGGTGGCATATGCTTTTAATCCCAGCACTTGGGAGGCGGAGGCAGGTGGATCTCTGTGAGTTCAAGGCCAGCCTGGTCTACGGAGTGAGTTCCAGAAGAGTCAGAGCTACACAGAGAAACCCTGTCTCAAATAATAATAATAATACAAAAATTAAAATACAGATTTGGAGACTAAATCACTCCTTTGAGTTTTAAGCCTTATAAACAGACGTAATTAGGATAGTGATGCCAAACAGAACTGTAGCTTATGCAAATAATCACTTTCACTCTACTGTGTTTACATCCTCATGATACCAAAACACAGTGAGTTTAGTCAAGACAAACCTTTCAGTGGCCGTGTCTCTAGAAAAAGACTTACTGTTAGTCATTATAGTACTATTCTTCAGTGTTTTCTAGACTACAGGACAATCATAGTAAAACTTACCTCTGCCTTTTTACTAATATGATCTGTAAATGAAAAAAGAAAAGAAAAGTTTTACTGGAAAGAATTAACAAATACAAATATTTTAACATGTAAAAAACAAAAATATCCAAAAGAATGTTAAAATTGTAAAGAGGTGCAAACAGAATGTTCTAAGACTCATATCTGATTTACTTTCAGGCTTAGGATGTTAATTCTAGTACAGACTGGCTAGTTTGTTCAGCTCAGGGACTGTATCTTATACCCTAGTAGACACCACCACTTGGAGGGATGTTATTAGATTTTAAGCATGTGAGTTTTATATATAACTCAGTTACCTGGCTTCATTTATTTTTCAGGGGACAGAGATTTGAAGAGATACATCTATGTCCAAAATCAAATCACAGAGGACTATTAACTGAAAATGTTCCGATTACTCTCTTTGTTGAATGAAATAAAAAATATGATAGCAATTTATGTCCTTGAAAGCTACTGGCTATATTATTTTTAAGATATCGTGATTTAATTGCACTGTAATAAAACCCTTAGCATAGCTATATACATATGTATAGATGTGTATTTATAGAATTTAACGATGGAACAACAACAAATTATAGATGAAACAAACCATGGACAAGAAACTCCCACACAGCCCTTCTAGGCAGGAGTGACCGAGAGCAGGAAGAGGGAACCACTGCATTTAAGTCAGGGTGATCAGGATGTCTAGTTACTTAACAATGTTCTTGTACACAAACAATTATCCCCTCTCAAAGAAGAACCTGATAAAATTCTTTTTTTCTTTTTTTCTGAGACAGGGTTTCTCTGTGTAGACAGGGTTTCTCTGTGTAGACAGGGTTTCTCTGTGTAGACAGGGTTTCTCTGTGTAGACAGGGTTTCTCTGTGTAGACAGGGTTTCTCTGTGTAGCCCTGGCTGTTCTGAAACTCACTTGTAGACCAAGTTGGCCTTGAACTCAGAGATATGCCTGCCTCTGCCTCCCGAGTGCTGGGATTAAAAGGCATGTGCCACTACAGTCCCAGACTAGCTTTTTTATGATCAACAATTTGAAAGTTGGCCTCATTTTCTACATTATTTGTTCATCAGAACAGTATAAAACATGGTCAATATCAAAGCCTTAATTCACATCAAATTACCAAATGATTGTTCTTCTGGTATGTCCTACTTGGTAATATGATGCCATAATCCAAGGAAAAATCACAACTGTGATAATCACACCTTGTAAAAAGCATGTAGCTTACCTTTGCTATACTCTCAATGCAGCTAATAAGTTTGCTTACAATTTGAAAAATCCAACACACAGAAAATAAATTTTTTAAAAAAGTATTTTGGATACGTATTTTGTCTCATGAACTTCCAATTCATCTTTCAGTTAAGGATGAAATGGAACTTCTTACCTTCCTGCCTCCACCTCTTCAATGCTAGTATCACAGGTACATGCTACAGAGCTCTGTGTATGTGGTGCTAGGGATCAAATTCAGAGCTTCTTGCATGGTAGACAAGGCCACTACCAAGTGAGCTGCATCCTCAGCCCCTATTAAGTATGCTTCTGCCTAAATTTTAATGCAATTCTTTTTTTTAAAAAAATTTGGGCTTGAGAGATGGCTCAGTGATTAAGAGCACTGGTTGCTCTTGCAGAGGACCTGGGTTGGATTCCCAGCATCCACATAGTGGCTCATAGCCACCTGTGACTCCTATTCCAGAGGATCTGATGCCCTTTTCTGACCTCCACAGGGACCAGGCGCACATGTGGAGAACAGATATATATTCAGGCAAAACAAATTTACAATAGAAGTAAAGACATAAATTTTTAAAAATTTTAAAAATTTACAAAATTAAAAAATTTATTATCTTACTCTATGTGTACGGGTGTTTTGCTGGCATGTATGTCTGTGTACCATGTCTGAGTGGTGCTCAAGGAGGCCAGAAGAGGGCACCGTTTCCACAGAACTATCTGACACAGTTGTGGGTGCTGCCTCACCTGCCCTTAACTGCTGAGCTTCTCCATAGACCCAACATTTACTATATAAAAAATTCTTCTTGGTAAACTTGGCTATTTTACTTTAATGTGTATGTTTCATCCCTAACCCAAGCAACTTAGACTACAGAAAAACTTTCTTCCTTTTTATGATTTTTGTGGGGGGGGGGGGAGAGGGAGAGGGAGAGAGGGAGAGGGAAAGGGAGAGGGAGAGGGAGAGGGAGGAGGGAGAGGGAGGAGGGAGAGGGAGGAGGGAGAGGGAGGAGTGTTTAGGAGCTGCCACCCAGGCTGAGATGGCTTTTGGTGATGCACGTGTGTCCTCTAGGTGACCTCTCTCCTGTGCTTCTGTAGGAAAGCCCCATGAATTCATTGGTTGGGCAGGCTAGACTTGCAGGCAGCTACCTTTGGTCTGTATTGGTGCCCCTCCTGGGTGAACAAACACTTGTCCTCATCTCTCAGGAAGTCACACAGCACCTTCTCTCTGGCCCTTTTGCCTTCTACTGTTTGAGCAGCAGGCATCCCTCTGACAGATTCCGGCACCTCCAGAACCGTGAGCCAGTGCATTTCTGTTTGTTGGGAATTACCCACTACAGCAGTACAAAATTAACAGGCTTACATTTTTATACTTTACATGGTAAACAAACCAAACCAAAATCAGAAAAGTACTCCTAACTATAAAAAAGACTCAGTTGGTAGACTCTTGGCCAGCACAACCAAGCTTCCAGGTCTGACCCCCAGCACCACATAAACTAGACATGGGTGCACGGCCTGTGACCTTGAGGCAGAGGCAGGAGGACCCTCGGCTACACAGTGAGTATGGAGTCAGTCTGGGGAACAAGAGTCCAGACCTGAGAGACAAAGAACACATTGAAGCGGCTCTGGTGTGGCCGGGGTTGCACATACTTTACCTTCACACTGAAAATCTTTTAGTGATACTGTGAGAGGTTTGTCTTTTCCCTGCTGGTTCTTTCTTTTATCTTTTTTATTTATAACTTTTGACTGAGTTGAAGCATTTTCAGCATTTTCATAATCCTAAAAAGAATTATCAACAGTAATTAAGTTTGGTTCATAAAGCACATCAACTCCTCAATATGTTTCTTAATGTTTTACTTTTAAAGATTAAAGGCAAATAAAAAACTGAAAACTCAGGTTAGCCAAGTTGTATGAAAATTCCTATTTAGTTATTGTTCATCTTCTCAACTGAAAACATTGAAGTAAAAATATCATAGATTGGTATATAAGCCTCCCCCACTGCCAACTTCTTATTCTTTCCTTCAGGACTAAATTTAAGAGACTAATCTACAATTTCCAACCTCATACCCTGAAATGGGGATTGTGTTTTTCTCTGACACTAACATTAAGATACAAATCTAAAAGACATTTTTTTAATCAACTCATGTTTTTAAAAGAATACTTTTATTTTACATGTATGGGTGTTTTGTCTGGTGCCCAAGGAGGTCAGAGAGGGCACTGGACCCCTTAGAACTGGTGGTTGTGAGCTCTTACATGGGTGCTGGGAATGGAACACTGGTCCTCTGAACCACTGAGCCAGCCCCTAACTCCACACATTTTTTTTAAAAATGTTTTTTTCCATACATTTGTAATGCCTCGGGTCTCCATTGCTGCCTTCTTTTCCCAACCCTCCTCATAAGAACATAGCTGTTATCCTTAACCTATTCTTACATGCTCTTCAATATCCAAGTTCCCACTTTTACACTAATGATTTCTCTATGTACAGACAGCAGCTGCAGTGCTCAACACACTCTGTCACACCGTGTTTATTTTTCAATCAACAACCCTGGCTTCCACTTGATGCTCTACTATGTGCTTGGCTATACCACCCTCTACACGGCCATCAGCTATAAGCCATTCTTAGATGCAAATAGCCATTCAGTTGGTTACCAGGTCTTGCTGAGTTCATCTCCTAAGGATCTCTTTGCCCTTTGTATTTCTGTCATTCCCTTTCTCTTCTCTGGCTTGGACACTGACAGTCTCTAATTTCACCTTCTATAATATTGATCGCATATCTTTCTGAAATAAAACCTGAAATCAATCTGGAAGTTAAAATAGCAGTATCTTAGGAGAAGGCAAGCCCACCTGTGTTCTGACACCCTGTCTTCCTTCCATACTGAAGCTTTCCTAGGTCACTCAATTAGTCTCCTATACAACACATTCTCTCACATGTGATCTGTTGTGTATTTTTTTGTACATCTTCCCCGAGAGTGCCTCTCTCTGGTCTGCTTTGCAAAAACAGCTAATACATTAAGTAAGACTTTAAAAAATCTTTTTTGAAAAATCCCATCCTCATCAAAGGCTGAGAAGCTGTGGATGCTTGAACCTTCATTGTGCTAAGAACAGGTAACTCTCAGCACTAACAGGATGATCATTTGCATGCCTCTTGCACTGAGCTCAAGGGCTGAAACTGTCTTTATCTCTACATCCTAGGCAGCACATTCTGGCTATTTAATAAGCACCCAGTGAGTAAGTAATAGAAAAGGACAGAAGACAGCATCTCTAATTTTCTTTCTTTTCTGTAGCCCAAGCTGGCCCAATGCTGTGGCAATCCTCCTGTCTTTGTCTTATCGGTGCTGGGACTATAGATGTGAGCCAACGCATGGCCCAAACTCATTATTTGTTATACAAACTCACAGTAAGAATAATCATGGCGCAGGGGAGGAGTGAGTAGAGATGATCAGTTGGTGTTTGCTGTGCAAGCCTGAGGCCTGGAGTTCAATCCCTAGTCTCACGGAAAATAAAGACACCTGGTACAGTAGTGAGTCCTGTAACCCCAGTGCTGGGCACGGGGCAGAGAGGACGACCACGGGCCTGCTGGCCAGCCCATCTAGCGGAGTCTGTGAGCTCTAGCTTCAGTAGAGACCCTGTCCAGAGAGAGACTGAAGAAGACACCCAATGCAGATTTCTGGCCTCCCCACACCTTGTGTATGGGCACCAACATACACACATGTGCCTGCATGCATGCAGGCGCATGAACACACACACACACACACACACACACACACACAATTATGGTGATTTGGTTGAAATACTGACTTATAAACTATGAATACACTAACACAATTACATAAAACTAAAAAGTAGCACTTCCATTCTCTTCGAGTCATTATTGTCTAACAAAAAGCAATGCTTTGGGGTACTTAGGCCTATGAATTTAGCAAGAAAACTGGCTGGGATCATGACATTTTATCAACACCATTTGCTCCACTCCTGAATAGCTAATCCTTTTAGCTTCAGAACAACATACATCCAACAACTAATCATTACTGTATGGTAATATTCTCTAAGTTAAAATCCTATGCATTAATTCAGAAATAAAGAAGGACCTTGCCAAGCATAATCTCTAAGTCCATTTAAATGGCTAAATCACAGTCAAGTGTGTTGTATTCACTTTTATACTAGCTTCATTTTTATATAAGTGGACATCTAACCATTTTGGTTATAATCATTCTTTTGTTTTCTCTTTAAAAAATATGTGTGTATTTTTATGTGTATGGGTATTTTGGCTGCAAATGTGTTTACCACTATGTGTGTGTATGTAGTGCCTCTGAAGAGCAGAAGAGGGTGTCAGATCCCCTGGGCCTGAAGCTGCAGGTAAGCTGCCTTGTGGTTGCTAAGAATTGAAACCTGAGTCCTCTGGAAGAGCAGCCGGTGCTCTTAAGCACTGAGCCATCTCTCCAGCCCTGATTTTGGTCACAATCATTTTCAATTATTTAGCGTACAAGGAATAAGGACATGGAAAATAAAGCACACAGGATACATAGACCACCAGACTGGCAAGTTTTATTTATGTATTTATTTTATAGCAAAGTCATCTGCTGTGGGTTTTAATTCCTCTCTTCCTTTCTCCTGGGATAGAGGTACCAGCGGACTGTAGCATGGCCAAAAGGGCTTTAATCATGAGAGGGGGGCATTCTGTTCAACCATTAAGTTATACCATGAATTAATCTAGCGAAGAACAGCAGAATTCTAATAAGTGTTAAGAATACGTTACATAAATCAAATCCCAAGTAAATACAGGAACTGGAAACCAACATTACTTTTCCCTTAGTATCCCTCTAATCAGAGCTGCACAACATAGTCCAACCTCTAGCCTAAGGCCAGTGCTCACGACACATGCTGAGCTTCAGAACACAGTCTGGGAGGTGAGCTCTGTGTCCTGCACGGCCATGCCTCTCTGGCAGGGAGCCTTTGAATGGGTTCCCGTACACTGCAGCACTCAGATTTCCTTAGATTTCTAAATCTCCTTTGGAGGAGGAGCAGCCTTGATGACTGGACAGTATGTGGTAAGCCCACACTTGGCCTCTGAGCATCACTCAAAGCTCCCTAAACGTATTACATTCAATGCTCATTTGAAATGAAAATAAATCATCTGGCATTAATTTCATTTCTTTTGCTTGCTTCATCTTGGTTGGAGAAACTTCACATTCCAAGTCATTAGACAAAGTACAGCTCACTTGTTTCTGTCCCTCAGAATCTGAGGAGGGAATCCTATCATGGATTTTTAAGGCAAACTTTATTTATTTTTTTGTAGTTCTAGGGAATGAATCCAGAGCCTAACACTAAGTTACATCCCAGCCCTAAAGAAGAAATTTTATATAAGTTCAGGAAGGACTGACCTGAGCTTTACTACATAAAAATTTTTAAATGCTTACATTGGTAAATATATAAGTACCTGTTTGTGCTCTTCATATTCTAATTTGCTCAGCAACAATGCCTTCTCAAGATCAGCTTCAAACATTTCAGATGTCAGCTGAAACAAAAGTTTCAGAATAAACATAGTTTTATACCATACTCTCAAAATAACTATGATATAGGATAATACATACAGGAAAAGAAAAAGAATGCACTTTAAATAAAACGTTATCTGTTCTCCAAAGTTTAACCATGCTCTCCTAGGAACCCTGTATGTATAAAAGCATAACTCCTATCTTTGAAATGTCTATTTCCTCTTTCATTGTTGAGTACATATCTGTGCCTACATATGTTATTGATGTCTCCTATTTCTTCTCTCCAGAACCCCTTACTTCATACTTTAAATAAACTATTCTGATACTCCTCGATTCAACAGGACAGTTGAGCATTCCCATCATTCTGCCACACTACCACACGAACACCCAAGCTGAACCACCAGCAACAGGTCAGGGAGATGACCCAGGGCTTCTCTGCTCTTCTAGGCATTAGCTCAAGAAAGGTTTAACCACCTGACATCACCCCTGGAATGTGGTATCTGCTAGCTCTGGCTTCTAAGTGTCCCAGAACTTTAGTTTCCATCTTTCCTATGGCCTAAGTTTTCAGGTTTTAATCACTCCTCAATAAATTTTTGCCCAAGTTATTAAAAATTATTTATGTTGTGAACTCTGTGAGTTCGAGGCCAGCCTGGTCTCCAAAGCCAGTTCCAAGAAAGGCGCAAAGCTACACAGAGAAACCCTGTCTCGAAAAACAAAACCAAAACCAAAAACAAAAAAAAAATTATGTTGCTTAATGTTTAGAAATATATAGACTAAAATAGAAACCAATGTCAAGAGGGTATAAGGGTATCTAGAAAACTTAATATTGAATGCTACGAATTCAACTTTCTAAATGAAGTCACCCCTTTGAAAGTGTCTCGTCTAATCCTATGCTGAGACAAAACCAGCAAAACAAGTCGGCTTTACACAGAAAAGCACTCATCTAACAGAAAAATACAGCGAGAATTAAAATGATAAATGCAAGAATCTAAGTAAGCCCACAGTAAGCTACAATAACCTAAAAAGACTGAGGATTAACTCAATTCAAATTAACTGTTATCAGAAAATAGCACTTTACAATTTAATTATAGGAGCCCAGAAAGGTGGCTCAGTGGTTACAAGCACTGGCTACTCTTGCAGAGGACCCATTCCCAGCTCCTACGTAGCTGCTCACGACCATCTGTAACTCCAGTTCCAGGGGATCCAACACCTGCTTCTGGTTTCTGCAAGCACTAGGCACACATGTGGTACACATATATACATGCAAGCAAAACTCCCATAAACAAACAAAAACCCTAAATCATTATATTGATAATGAAAAATAATAAAGTAAAAATAGGATTTATGTGTTAGCCACATTAAAAAGAAAGTATAAACCAATTTCTACATCTAAGTTGAATAGTTTGTTCATGAATTAAAAATTTGATGATCTTAACAAAAAAAGTAGCAAATCTTAGTTTATTCTGAACAAAGCTCGTTAACTGTCATTAAAATCCTATTTTTAACATTTAATTACGGAAAGAAAATTTGTGGTTATTTCTAATGTATCATATATTTGGGCTGATATCCCAATGAGCCAGACAGAAAAACAGGTTAGGAAGCTGGAAGTCTTGCAAGATATTGTGATGTTCCACATTAACTCACAGAATTTAAGTGCTAAGGTAGAGCATTCCGATAAAACAACAACAAAAAAATGAATTAAATCAATTTTTTTTGAGATGGTTTCACTGTGTTGCTGTGGAACATTCCTTTACATTGTATAAGGATGTGTCACTGTGATTGGTTTAACAAAATACTAAAAGCCAACAGCTAGGCAGAAGGTGGAGCAGGGACTTCTGGATAGAGAGAGCTCTGGGAAGAAGAAAGGGGAGTCACTAGCCAGATGAGAGGAAGCAGGATGGGCAGTAGAGAATAAAGGTAACTGAGTCACATAGAAGAACAGATTTAAAAATATGAGTTAATTTACGTTATAAGAGCTAGTGGGACAACATAAGCTAAAGGCTGAGCTTTCATAATTAATAATAAATCTGTGTCGTTTTTTTGTGAGCTGGTAGCCCAAAGAAAAGCCAGACTACACTGCCTATCCTTAGCTGTCCCAGAACTCACTACACAGACCAGGTTTGTCTTGGCATAGAAATGAAAAAGTGAAAAACAAACAAACAAAACAACAACAAAGAAAACAAAGCCATGGCTCTCCCTGGGATCTGAGTCTAACTGTGACAGCTCAAGGTCCGCCTGACTTTATTGTGGTGCTGGCAACTGGTCTAAGTGTGATAAGAAGCAATGATACAGTATAAAGCATCAAACAAAACCCTGACCTATCCCTTAAATTTACTTTTTTTATTAACATACACTAGTATACAGATAAGCATGAATGAATGAAATTCAAAATTCTAAAGAATAGAAAAGAACCTTAATTGGGATATACTGAGAATTTTATGGAAATTAATTTTATGTTGATATTTAAAGGACAGAAATAATTTTGATAGGTAGAAAAAGGAAAATAGTAATTGTAGAATAGCGATTCTTACATATAATGCTTACATGAGCTTACAAAGTATAGCTGTCTTATGGAATACTAAAGACCATCCTGACACAGAATGCATAACCTTGACTGTTTGCTTCTAAGCAGAAGTTCTAACTAAGATCTAGGTCTTCCCACATGCTCCAACAACACACCCGGTACGAATTCCTCCATGTTCCTGAGCCATAGAGGAAACGTTTACATAGAACACCTGATCACTGTGCTGGCAAACATGGACAAGAAAGGGCCCAGCAGACTGTGTGCATGTCAGCACTGCACACATTTCTGAGTGACTCTCAGTCATTGTCCTACATCACGGTCCAGTCACCTTTGGGCAATTGAGAGAAATTCCCTCTAGTGAAGACAATGTCAATTCTATGACTGCCCAACAGCACCTCACTATCTGGAAATGTCAATGCCATTAATGCATGGCTCCAGAGTAATAGTTGGTGCTCATAAGCGGCGTCTTGGACAATGCAAGATCCTAAAGAAAATACACTGAACACAGCTTGTGAAAGGAGCATACTGAAGCACTGGCGGCCTGTGTTAGCTTGTCTTGCCCAAACAGGCTGGGCTGGAACTCAAGAGCTTCCTGACTCAGTTTCCCAAGTGGTTAGATGCTTGGATTACATATAAGTACCACCACACCCAGCTTTCTCTACTTCCTTTAAAACTGGTAACATAAGAATGATAGAAAAATCCACTAAATGGACCAAACATGTTTGAAAATAATGCCTATTTTCCTATGGACCAAATTATAGTTTAATAAATATGCAAATAAACAATGTTCATTTCCTATGCATGCAGAGCTCGTGAGCATGCGTGTGCACCTCCACCCACACTTTCTCCCTTTCCTCCCTCGTGTGTACTCTCACAATAAGCATTTAGAGACAATAAAACACCATGTAAACAGGTCAGCAGAACAAACATGCCTTCAACAATTCTGCACTGAAGTTAAAAAGGAACTCTCACCTCAAAGTCCTTATGTTTAATCAAAACTGTTACTAGACATTCTAACAGGAGACCTGTAGCCCTACAAATCTGGTTTTAAAAAATCTGAACAAGTGTTTTTTAACCACTGAGATACCTCTCCGGCCCTCAAATATCTGAAATAAATTAATTATATTTCTCTATGTTCCTAACACTCTTCTCATACGTAAACAGTAGATGAATTAAAAAAAAAAAAGACACACACACACAAAAAAAAAATACAGGGTTGTAGCTCATGGGTAGAGCACATGCTCGCATGCCCAAGGCCCTGGGTCTGATCCCCAGAACCCATAAACAAACAAAGAAGACACTCAACTGCTTCGCACTGACAGATCTAACATGGTGTACACACTGGCCACCAGCTCTCAAAGCTGCACACAGGAAGCGTCCAACCCTAACTGCTCTCTAGAAGGCAGTGACGGGGACTCAGGTGAACTCAGGAAACAGCTGGGGCATTCCTCTGCTGACCCGGCCGTACCTGCTCATCTCTCTGTCTCCACTCTTGCCAGTTCTCTTCCCGAGACTCCTTCTGTGCTGGGTTTGGCAATGGAAGCTCATGTTGAACATTGCAAATGGCATGGGAAGATTTCTGGGGAATTTTCTTAAAAGCAAGATTCCTGAGCTATAAAATAAGCACAACATATATTAAATTCAATTAATTTTAATTTTAAAATATTTCTAGTCTAAGTACTCATATTAACTTTTAAAACTTAGATAAAAGTTATTTATGGATTTATCTTTACTTATAAATTTCTTAATTTGTTTACTACATAAAGTCTCACTATGCTCTATGCTGTCAGGTTGGCTCAAGTAACCCCATCAGCTCAGTCTCCTGACAAGCTGGGGCTCCAGGCATGGGCTGCCTCCTTTTAAGACTTCTCTGTTTTAACTTAAGATCTTGAACACACAAGCTGCTCTGGTCAGGAGAAAACGCCTGTAAGTGTTTACTACATTTGAATTCAGGTAGGTGTATGTTCACCAAGTAGCTCTGCTCCAGAGATGGGGCACAGTGGCTGCCCCAGCGTGGCTTACATCAGTGCTCACAGCGTGGCTTACATCGGTAGCTTAGGGAAACAGACAAAGAACTCTAACAGTACCTCATTTGCTTCACTCTGCTGCTGTTCCTTCTTTTTTCTTCGTTTCTCTCTCTTTTTTTCATTTGTGGTTGATTTGTTTCCCAAAGTTTGAGACTTCCCATTATTCCGGCCTTTGCCTTTTCCAGGCTCGGAATCAGAACCACTGCCACTATCAACTTGTAACAGGGCAAATCGAGAGGCAGTAGTGAGAACAGAGCTAAGGACTGCTGAAGCCATGGTTCAGAACAGTAACTCCTGTGGGCAAGGAGGAGAGGAAGCAGATGAGAAAACACACTGAAGAAAAATTATTCTAATGTCTAGAACAGCCAGACATATAAAATACATTTCTCCTAACATCAGATTTGGTAGTATTTGGATTTGTACCCACAATTTCACTGTCATTAACATATTTTTTAACTTAAGTAAAAAAAAAAATTAAGAAAACATGGGTTTTATTTATCTCACAGGTAACAATACAAAACTACAATCAAACATGATGCTCATTCCCACATCTGGTTTTAGCATCCTTGGCTTTCCTTTTCTTTGAATGCTTGTGTGGTGTGTACACACTCATGGGAAAAATCCTAAATCACGATGGTCTTGCTGTGGAAGAGGAGGAACAGCACTTTTCATTATACACAAAGGCCCTTACTGCAGCTACATGTTTATCCCCAACTTCCAAGAAAACAAAAGAACAGAAAAGAACATTCTTATATTCAAAATGCTGAAGTTTGATTATAAAGACTGAGGTCTTACAACTAATTTTAAAAAATAAAGAGCTTATATTCCTTCAACCATGGAATTCATGCCTAGTACTGTCAACTTTGGCCAAAGCCTATGGCTGATGAGGTCACAGGCCCTAGGGGTACTTACTACGGTAGATTTGCTGAAAAGGCATGCCAAACCACCATGACCAGTGCTGCTCTAAGCCTTGGCCAGGGAATCGTTTCTTTAGAATGGAGTGCAGTTAAAACAACTGGGGCCAGAAAAGGGCATTGTATCCCCTGAACCACTGTACAGATGGTCGTGAGCCACTGTGCATGTGGTGAAAACCAAACCTGGGTCCTCTGCAAGGGCAGTAAATGCTCTTACCCGCTGAACCACTTCTTTACCCCGAAATACTAGCTTCAAACGACACTGTGTTCTCTTTCCCCTTCATCTAAATTCTTGGAAGCGTATGCTATACTGGCATGGGGTTGGCTCTATTAGCCAGATTGATATAATCTGAAGCCACAGTGAATTAAACCCTTAATAACCTGTGCTAGGCATGTGGCTTGAACCAAAAGGTTGTGCCACTTTAGGCTCCTGGGATTTTCAAACTGTTACTGCAGTATAACCTAGCTTTATCATGACATATTTAAAGACATTTCCAGAAGAGGGCGCCAGATCTCATTATAGATGGTTGTGAGCCACCATGTGGTTGCTGGAAACTGAACTCAAGACCTCTGGAAGGGTAGCCAGTGCTTTACCTCTGAGCCATCTTTCCATCCCCTATGAGCAGGTTCTAAGCAATGGCCTTAAACCTCTACACTGACATTTTCCCTCCTTTGCTAGCTAATAGCATGCCCTTTTAATAGCACAAAAATATATCTACAAGGCCTTGCTTAGACAATGCAAACATATTCTGCCAATCAGAGCTTTGTCATCAGTTTAAAACACCTGAAATTAGAAACTCATTAAATTTGAATTACTGAACTTACACAAATTCAGTATGTAGTGCCTGTCCTGCTAACTTACTGTTTTATTCCTCCTGATAACATTATTTTTAAAATGTGAATTTATTTCTTCCATTAGCTCTATATGAACACTCACAGGTCTCTTTCCAGTTTTAGATTAAAAGATGCCTTTTTCCTGTGTGTTAGAGATGCAGATGTCAAATGGTAGGGGTACTAAGCCAGGAGCTCAGTCTGGGAGCCAGGGAGCCTAGTCAAGCCCAATGTGCTACTTAGTGAGAGCCCCAAGGCAGTCTGCTATCTTCTTCCTCTGTGAGATGGGAGTGACAGCTGTCTGATTTCAGTAGGTCAAGATGTGTGAACTCTGTACAGCGGCAGCATAAATCAAATGTCAGCATTTACTGGTATTACTTGACTGTAATGTCTACATGAGTTAAATGCTCATAAATATCTATTCTAAAACACTTCTTGAAGAGGAGATAGGATCTGGCACAACTAAAATGTGACTAAACACAATGATTCCACTACAAAGCATGTTCCGAAATTCAAACCAACATTTGCCCGATCTAGAAGCTAAGACTTTGAAATGAAAGAAACAAGTTTTTAGGCGTGAAGTAGAAATTAGGCAGTCAGCAAAGCTCCATCAAAGGCCTAGTGAGTCCACTAGTGTAGCACAGAAGATAAGCATGGGTTTACCTGACCACAACTACAGCTGGGACTATGGGGTTTTTTTCTTTTTGGTTTTTCGAGACAGGGTTTCTCTGTATAGCCCTGGCTGCCCTGGAACTCATTCTGTAGACTAGGCTGGCCTTGAACTCAGAGAGATCCACCTGCCTCTGCCTCCCCAGTACTGGGGTTAAAGGTATGCACCACCTCGTCCAGTGGGACTATGTCTTAAACACTGGACACACAGAAGTGTTTCCTGAATGAGTGAGAATAACAAAAGGCAAAGCACAAAGGGCCTGAGAAAGGCCAACAAGAACTGTTGATAAGACAAAGCACGCTCACTAAGAAGGCTGCACCTCTGCAACAGCTTGAATGTGAGCACAGCATTAAAGGGGAGAGCGCAAAGGCGGAAATGCTCCTGAGCAACAGCATTCCTCGTTTGCTCAGGTTCAAGGGCGCAAAAGGACAGGACAGTGGCAGTCACCAGAACAATAATATAATAAATTATTATAATATGCTAAATATTTAATATAGTAAATAAAGTAAAGACAAAAAATTGTTCTACTTAGTCTTCAAAGCTAAAATTTCAGGGTTTTATGGTCCCTGTTCTTTTTTAAGACCAGGATTCTCTAGGTAACCCAGGTAAGCTCAGAGGTTACTCTGAGGCCCATGTGGCCTCCAGGTGCTGGGATGATAGGTGTGTACCATGACGCTGACTGAACCCAAGATAAACAGCTGGCATGTCTTCTATCTCAGCAGCCATGAGGGGATCTACATGCCATGGCAAAGGCAGAGTAACCAGTACTTCTAAAGTGACAGATGTAAACTTAAATGAAGAAAAGAGAATATGGTTTAATATAAAAACCACGCTCAGTTCCACTGGCAGTTGCTGACAGCTCTCCACCAGTAGGATTTTCATTTTTCTGACCTCTTAACTCTGTAACTTTTCTGTTTCCATTTTCCATATTTTCTTCAGATACCTGCTAAATTCTTAAATATACCTGTCTTAACACTCTGGGCATTCTCATTCTCACACTTTCTCTCAAGATACTCCTAAAGTCAGCCGGATGGCAGTAGCCTTTAATCCCAGCACTGGGGAGGCAGAGGCAGGTGGATCTCTGTGAGTTCGAGGCCAGCCTGGTCTACAGAGTAAGATTCAGGACAGTCACCAAAACTAAAGAGAGACCCTGTCTCGAAAAACAAAAACAAAAAACAAACAAAAAAGATACTCCTAAACTCAATACAGCTGCTTGCAGACTTCCACTCTGAGCCTGCCTTCTTGGACATGATCTCAAAAGACACAACACTTTTCCTTCTTCCAAGAACCTACCAAAATGTATAACTTTCCTGCAGTTTTTAATCTTAAAATCCAATAAAATTGTCCTTGAGCTTACAAAATACAAAAAGAAAAATCAAAATGCTTGAAATTACATTATGTTTTCCAATGACTCCTATGAAAAACAAAATACCTTGAAAAGGGAAAATTACTATCTCTCCCCAAAATGAAACAGAGTGGAACCAATACAGTCGGGCTTTTCCTACCACGAATCAAAATGAAGAATTAAGAGAATTAGAATTGGCAGTCAGACTGCGGTCTTTCATGTTAGTGACGCCTAAGGATAGCAGAAGGAGAGCATGCTCCTAGAGTCCATTAGCTTCACTAATCAACTTCTAAGACTTCCCAGAAATAGTCATTTCATACAATCACCATCTCCTTTGCAGCCCTACAGCTCACACAGACACATCCCAGGTCCCTACAGCTCACACAGACACATCCCAGGTCCCTACAGCTCACACAGACACATCCCAGGTCTCTACAGCTCACACAGACACATCCCAGGTCCCTACAGCTCACACAGACACATCCCAGGTCCCTACAGCTCACACAGACACATCCCAGGTCCCTACAGCTCACACAGACACATCCCAGGTCCCTACAGCTCACACAGACACATCCCAGGTCCCTACAGCTCACACAGACACATCCCAGGTCCCTATAGCTCACACAGACATCCCAGGTCCCTACAGCTCACACAGACATCCCAGGTCCCTACAGCTCACACAGACATCCCAGGTTCCCTACAGCTCACACAGACACATCCCAGGTCCCTACAGCTCACACAGATATCCCAGGTCCCTACAGCTCACACAGACACATCCCAGGTCCCTATAGCTCACACAGACACATCCCAGGTCCCTATAGCTCACACAGACATCCCAGGTCCCTACAGCTCACACAGACATATCCCAGGTTCCCTACAGCTCACACAGACACATCCCAGGTTCCCTACAGCTCACACAGACATCCCAGGTTCCCTACAGCTCACACAGACACATCCCAGGTCCCTACAGCTCACACAGACACATCCCAGGTTCCCTACAGCTCACACAGACACATCCCAGGTCCCTACAGCTCACACAGACATCCCAGGTTCCCTACAGCTCACACAGACATCCCAGGTCTCTACAGCTCACACAGACATCCCAGGTTCCCTACAGCTCACACAGACACATCCCAGGTTCCCTACAGCTCACACAGACATCCCAGGTCTCTACAGCTCACACAGACATCCCAGGTCCCTACAGCTCACACAGACATCCCAGGTCCCTACAGCTCACACAGACATCCCAGGTCCCTACAGCTCACACAGACACATCCCAGGTTCCCTACAGCTCACACAGACATCCCAGGTCCCTACAGCTCACACAGACATCCCAGGTCCCTACAGCTCACACAGACATCCCAGGTCCCTACAGCTCACACAGACACATCCCAGGTCCCTACAGCTCACACAGACACATCCCAGGTCCCTACAGCTCACACAGACACATCCCAGGTTCCCTACAGCTCACACAGACACATCCCAGGTCCCTACAGCTCACACAGACACATCCCAGGTCTTAAAGCTCTTCCCGCAGGATGTGGCTGGGGTTAGTGCTCCTTTAGTCTTGTGTTCTCAGTTTCAGCATATCACCTCCAGTCACATCTGAGAGTAACACAGCATCACTTCCTCTCCTCCCATCCTCTTTCAAGCATATTTAGTTCTTTAAATCCAGATACTGACTTACATATACATACTTACATAATTAGTTAATAATTAATTATATAATTAAATGGAGGAATAATGGCCTGCACTAAGGTAGTCTATAAATATGGTGTTTACTATATAGACATTTATATAGCACTAAAATACTGCAAAGTCAAGTTTTAAATCAAGAAATCTAAATATAGTTTTGTATTTTTTCCTCTCTACCCTGTGAGTCTTCCATTAAGAATAACTTTGGTGCTGGAGGGCAGTTTAGTATAGGACAACTGCTTTGCTCTCCAGTACTACTAAACATAAAAAGTAAATGTGTCCTCTATAAAATAAATTGTAAAGCTAGTGTAAGGGGTTGATGAAAGACAAAACAAGTTCACAAGGTAACTTAAAAAGCAAATGTTGCAGGGAAAAGTAAGAAAAAAAAAACACAAAAAAACAGGTTTACAATAAAAACCATGCAGGTAATTTATCATCTGCAAATCCATCTCACTAGTCCACTGCTTTACCTGAGGCTCCAGTGTGCTCCCTACTCTACAATCCCAGGTCTAGAATGTCTCCTCCACCTAAAACATCTCCATTCCTCAAATTTAGCCCTGTTGCAAGTCAACTCTGATCTGCCCTCAAGTTAAGCATTCACTCTAATATTCCTTCTATTTACTCCTGTTATTCAATGGATTCCTTAAAACAGCTGTTATTGTATCTAGCTCCCTGCTGTCCCGATTTAAAAATGTTGAACATGGATCTCTTCCCCGTGTTCCCAGGGAACATAAAGAACTTGGCACACACATTAACAGATAAATTGATCAGTCATTTGTAATGGTGCACATCTGCAGTCTCAACACTAGAAGAGCTAAGGCAGGAAGGTCTTATGTTCAAGGCTAGCCTGGGCTACACATTAGGAAATTGTCTCAGCAAAAAGAAAGAAGAAATAACATTAGATATATCAATAATGACATCAAGCTTACTGGCTGGGGCCTAACTATATTTTCCAGGTACAGAGTGCTACATACCTAAGTGTGCGCTGAAATGTGTGCTTCTGAACTAGGAGAATGAGGGTACAAAGTACACGTGAATGAACAATCAGTTCAAAACTATTTCATTAAAAGCACCATCACAACTAATTATTCCTACAACTAATTTTTTCTAGGAATCTTGCTTTTGTAGGGAGTTTTTGATTTTTAAAAGGTGAGGGTGCAAGATACACTGTTTATAGTAGAGAAAAGGCTAAGCTGCAATCAGCAAGATTTATAAATGATCTAGATTCTTGGTCTCTATGAAGGGCCACAGCCATTATGACCTCCTTCCTCTATGACCTCACTAGAGTCAGGAAAGAACTTGTCCAGGGAACTCAATTACACTCAAGAACAATTAATTTTATTCCTTTTTTTTTTTTTGGTTTTTCGAGACAGGGTTTCTCTGTGTAGCTTTGCACCTTTCCTGGAACTCACTTGGTAGTCCAGGCTGGCCTCGAACTCACAGAGATCCGCCTGGCTCTGCCTCCCGAGTGCTGGGATTAAAGGCGTGCGCCACCACCGCCCGGCAATTTTATTCCTTTTTAAATGAACAGTAGTTATCATCTATCAATACCATCAACCAGTTAGCTAGATCCAAAAAGAAAATTCACAATGTATATACCATCAATGAATGTGGCTATATGCTTTGAGACAGGATCTCACTGTGTAGCCCAGACTGGGACTCTCAATCCTCCTATCCCAGCCTCCTGAGTCCTAGAAATACAGATGTATACCACCACATCCATCTAGAGAGGCCTTGGTAAAATCTAATAGATTAAAAACAACAAACTGATGAATTAGACCATGAAAGGCCCTGTGTTTGATGCTAAGCACCCCTCCTGCCCCCCACCCCCAATTAAAAGTGAGCATAAAATGAAATGTCATTAAGTATCACTAAACTTTGTGCCTGTCATTTTGACTTCTTAAAACTTAAGGTTCACAGGCATCAAGGGCCAAGTGCATTCTGAAACTCTGCTTTCAACACACTTATTGCAAATGGCATAAACTTAAAGGTCTACCCCAAATCCCACCTCCCCCACATACACTGGTTAAGTACAGCCTTCCTTCTCTGATCTGCAGCTCTCAATTTCTGGGACTGAAAATTCTTTAAAAAAAAAAAAAAAAAAAAAAAGAAAGAAAGAAAGAAAGAAAGAAGGAAGGAAGGAAGGAAGGAAGGAAGGAAGGAAGGAAGGAAGGAAGGAAGAAAGAAAGAAGAAAGAAAGAAAGAAAGGAAGAAAGAAGGAAAGAAATCCAAACAATGTACTAAGGGATTCTGTCGTGAAGGAAGTGTAAGAATTTTCACAGCATCCCTATGATCCACGTTCATGTTTGCTAGAAGCCCCTGGGTTAGTGCAAGTAAGTTTATTTTGATCTTTAATAGATAAGCTCATTAAATAAGCTTTAACTACTTGCCAATTTTAGTGGTATAAACTAGTGTAGGGAAACCCTAGATTTCTAGAAAGGTTTTTCAATATAGTTTTACGATTTTTTCGATAGTTTCTCAAATATTTTTGGAGCTACAGGCTTAACTTCATTCTGGTTACAGGTGCAAGCACGTTCTTATAAACAGAGCAGGGTGCAGAACAATGTGTTCTCGGCGTTAGGAAAGCCATCTTTCGCTAGAACTCTCCACCGATATCAACTGAGAAATATGGCAATGGGAGGGGGCGGGGCAGACAATGGAATAAACTTTCGTCCCAACTGCTCAGGATCTAGGAACACCTCAGCGCAGGCGACCCCGCCACAACGCGCAGCTGTTAAAGGCAGCGGCAGCAAAGGCACGCCTGAGAAGCCCGCACGTCTACCTCGGGCTGCCGGGAGGAGGGCGGTGTGGCCGTCCCCTCCTCTCCCTCCTTCGGGACCCAAAGCCAAACCTCACGCACGAGCGGTTCCGGGTGCTCCAAAACTTGTTCGCGAAGTACCCGGAGAAAGAGCGCGGGGTGGGCGAGCCCCAGCTGCAGCCGAGACGCGGCGTCCAAGCCTGCAAGCAACACGGGAGTCAGGTGGGCGCTCTAGAAATTTCCGGGCGGGCGAGCGGCCGCACCTGTCACGCCCGCGGCCCGCCGAGGCCTGCGGCCCGCACTCTCCCGCAGCCTCCGCGGCCCTCTCGCCCTTCCCGCCGCCCGGCCCGGTCCCCGCCTCAGGCCGCACTCGGCCGCGTCGCCTTAGCCGCGAGCTGCGGGGCTCCGCGGACTCACCGGGCCTCGCCGCGGCGCGGCCGCTCTCCTCTCCCCCGCCGCTCCCGCGCAGCCCCGGGCGTTGGGCGCGGGGCGCAGGGCGTCCGCAGTAACGGGCCCGCGGCCGGGCGGCGGGCGCGCGGAGGCGGCGCGGCGCGGCGCGGAGCGGCAGGCCTGGCGCCCGCAGCGGCGCGCGGGACTTCTTTCCTGAGGGTCGCGGCGCGGCGGACGCGGACGCTGGCGCCGAGGCGAGGTCCGCGGGTGACGGACCGCGGAGGACCAGAACCACCTGCTGGAGGAGCCGCGCTACGGGGGCCGCGCAGGGTCCAAACGGCTCGCGTAGGCTGCGGCTCCGCGGTCCTCGGGGTCGCGGAGCACCGCGGAGCCGGGAAGGTGGGAGGCCTTCCGGGACAGAGGCTTAGGCCGCCGCCCGCGCAGCGCGGCGGGATCACTGGGCTCTCCCGAGGCCCGGGGGCGGAGGAGGACCTCCAGGCGGGGAAGGAGGGCGGTGCCGCCAGCGAGATGCAAACAGCCAGGCGGCCGCGGATTCCCTAGGGAAAAGAGAACTGCTCCGCTCTGCCGCCCCGGACACCTATCGGGTCTCGGTTTAGTTTTGCAAAGTTGAGTGGCTTACCCAATCCCGGCAGCCAGCGGCAGAGCTGGAACGGCGCTGTACTGCCCTGACGCTATCCCACACAAGTCACTTCCACGGGTAGGATGCTGCGGGGACACCGAGAGGAGTTGAAGTTATCCTCGCCCTCACGGAGAAAGGAGCGAAGCAAAGCTGAAACTGTAGAAAACGCCAGACCACCGTAGGGGCCTTGAGGAAAAATACAGAGCACTACACAGGAGGACGGCGCGCATCTGTGGGCCAGCGTGAGGGAGGAGGCTTCTGGAACTGGCCTGGGAAGAGGTGGAGTTTTGCAGGGAGACCTTGGGGCCTCAGATGGAGGCCTTTGGACGCTGCGTTCCAGTGACTGAAGACGCCAGAGGCTGGGGCATGGTGCCGAGTGGCAGAGACAACTGGAAATGGGGCACAACTTCCAAATGGAAGGATTTGTATTTAAGGCAGTGTTTCGTTTTCTAGGTTTAGAAGTTGAGAGGAAGAAAAGGCTTTTGCGTTGTAAGTACTGTCTGAAGGAAAGCAGACGTTAGAGATGGAAAAGTGACAGCCCTATGTAGACCAGGTAGAAGGTAATGACCAGCTATGACAGCTATTGAGGTGTGGTGACACACGCCTGTGATCCCAACCCTGGGAGTCCGAGGTCAGTGGTTACACAGAAAGATTGATCTGGGCGTTAAGACTGAGATGGGGGAGGGGCAGAAAGAATTTTAAATAATGTGTAGTACACTTTACAGGATTTGACAGCTTGATTGCTTAGGGTTAGGGAGAGAGAAACAGGGGCTTAAGACTGGACGATCGTCAGAGGGACAATACTTAGAAGAGAAAGGAGACAGTTACTCTAAAAAATATTTTTAAAAATGTATTTATTCTACATCCAGGCTGAAGTTTCCCCTCGCTCCTCTCCTCCCAGTCCCTTCCCCCCACCCTGTGTTCCCACCCATTGTTTTTGGTTTTTCACACACACCCCCCCCCCCCAAAGCTCCCAAATAAATCACACACAAAGGCTTATTCCTAATTATGAATGACCGGCCTTAGCTTGGCTTGTTTCTTGCCAGCTTTCCGTAACTTAAATTATCCCGTTTACCTTTTGCCTCTGGGATTTTCCCGTCCTCTTCTGTAAATCTTACTCTTACTCCATGGCTTGCTATGTAGCTGTGTAACTGGCCCCTGGAGTCCTCCTCCTCCTTCTCTGACTACTTCTTTCTCCTCCCAGATTTCTCTTTCTATTTATCCTCTCTGCCTGCCAGCCCCGCCTATCCTTTCTCTTGCCTCGCTATTGGCCAGTTCTTTATTGGACCATTAGGCGTTTTACACAGGCACAGTAACACAGCTTCACAGAATTAAACAAATGCAACATAAACAAAAGTAACACACCTTAAAATAATATTCTACAACACACCGTCTAATCCACTCCTCTTCCGTTTTTTGTTTAGGAAAGGGCAGATCTCCCAGGGATATCAACAAAACATGGCATATCAAGTTGCCTTAAGACTAAGCCCTCCCCATGTGTTAAGGCTGGGCAGGGCGATCCAGTATTCAGAGTAGGTCTCAAAAGCCGCTGGAAGAGTCAGAGACGGCCCTGCAGGCGCTGCTTTTTTTTTTTTTTTTCAAATGTTCATTGGTGTTCTGCCTGCACGTATGTCTGTGTGAGGGTGCCACATCCCCTGGAACTGGAGTTACAGCCTGGTGTGAGCTGCCATGTGGGCGCTGGGAGTTGAACCCGGGTCCCCTGGAAGAGCAGACAACTACTGAGCCATCTCTCCAGCCCCCAGACAGCTGCTCTTTAGGAAAAGATGATCAGTTTAGACTTGGACATTTGGAAGGGCTGAAGGCAGCCCAACAGATGTGGTTACTAAGAAGTTAGAGAGAAAAGTTCTGAAATAGGTGGAAGAACTGGATGGGAATGCGCATGGGGCCGAGGGGGCAGTACAGTGGGTAGTTTGCATTCTATCCCCAGAGTGAGTGTCAGATCTCCCATGGTAGCATGATCTTGTCCCAGTGATTAGCAGACAGGGAGAGGGGGATCCCTGGGTCTTGCTAGCCAACCTGTCTCAAAAAAACAAAAATCAAAGAACAAAAACAACCCAAGGTGGATAGCACTTGAGGAATGATAATCAAAGTTGTCCCTCTAGCCTCCACACACACATGTACACACAATCCACCTGCATATATATGAGCACCCCCACATCTACACACATGTACACACAATCCACTTGCATGTATATGAGCACCCCCACATCTACACACATGTACACACAATCCACTTGCATGTACATGAGGACCCCGCCCCCACTCACATACACACAGAAATAGATTGGAAACTCCTCAGCCTAGCATTGTATTGCTGTGAGAGAAGCAGGTAGACACAGTCTTCATATACATTGTTAGTCTTGCTACCTCAAGTATGGCCACATCTGTGTCATCAGCAAGTCCATTAGAAATATGGGGATCTCAGGCCCCAACACAAACCTGCCAACTGACACCCTAGGCTTCAAAGACATTGCAGGAGGTGATCCACATGGGTGTTTGGGAAGCTGGGTCATAGGTGAGAAAAGCCAGCAGTAGAAGAGGAAGAGGGGCACCTGAGTAGGACCGGAACACCAAAGCAGGGGGACTTGAGTCTCATGAAGCTGGGCATGAGGAGTGCAGGTCAGTGCCATGAACTGTAGAGGTTGAGAAGGACGAGGGACAGCGATGCCATGAGCACCATGCCAGCCAATTCTCAATGGAAGCTTAGAGACTTACTTTCTGACTGGGGAGTACCTAGAGACAGTCCTTGCTGTGTGCGCACACTTGGGACATGTTGAAGTAAGCAGGTGGACTGATAGATGGAGAACAGAACGTCTGTCTCTAAGGGTTGCTTCTGCTTTCTCAGCAGAGTGAGGAGCAAGGTCATCTTTTGTCTGTTACAGTTCACGTCCCTGGATGCAGACTGCTTTTCCCAGCCTAGAGTGGGACTTGCCGAGTCTTTACTTGAGCAGTGTGCTTCCTCCAGGTGTTTCCTCCTTCTGCCAACTGGACCAGGACACAGCAGCTCTGCTTCGATTGTCTAGACTCCTGGAAGCACCTGGAAGTGGCAGAGCCACAAGAAAGCGCCTGGAGGAAGAGGAGCTTCTGACGGTTGACCTAGAACACCCAATTATGTGAATGATGTCTGGACTTGGATTGAACTAGAGCCTTAAGACTTTGGGGTCCATTTGTTGTAGCCTAACATGGCATTAACTAAAACTCATAAAGGAAGAATAGAACTTGGCATGTCTGAGTGAAGAAAAGTGATCAGACGGAGCTTTCCAGACACCACTAAACCCTTCAGTGAAGGACCAAGAAATTAGAGGGAGACTAGTCAACCAGTCCTACATTCCAGTTCATGTGAGGCACTGAGGAGATAGCGTGGGCACTATGCAGGACAGGGAGCTGGCCAGGAAGCATAATAAGGGAGAAGGACAAAGTATTTGAAGGTAAGAAACAAAGGAAGCATTATTATGTCAAGCATGGTAGGAGAGAAGGTTAAGAAGAGGGTAAGGAGTAGCTAGAAATATGGTAAGGTTGGGGCTGGAGATGTGGCTTGGTGGTTAAGAGCACTGGCTGCTGTCCAAAGGACCTGGGTGGGTCTGATTCCCAGCATCCACATGGTGGCTCACAAACTTCTGTAACTCCAATCCCAGGAGATCTGGCTTCCACAGGCACCAGGCATGAATGTGGTGCATGATATATATGCAGGCAAACATCTGAAAACATTAAAAAAAATAAAATATGGTAAAGTTTCTAAACTGGAGCATTTGACCAGGTTAAGTAATTTTTAGAATTTGGGTGCTGTGGAACAATCTTTGTACACTGTATGTATTTCTCTCATTGTTAATAAAAAGCTGATTGGACGATGGCTAGGCAGGATTTGGGGGCAGAGAGAATGCTGGGAAGGAGGGCAGAGTGGGAGGAGTTGACAGACAGACAGGAAGCAGGACATACAGGAAAGGTAAAACTCAGAAGCCCTGGGACAGCACATGTATTAATAGAAATGGGTTAATTTAAGTTGTAAGAGCTAGTTAGTAATAAGCCTGAGCTATGGGCTGAGCATTTATAATTAATGAGTATCTGAGTGGTTATTTGGGAAGTGGCTGGCGGAACAGAGCTGATTGTGGTCCCAATGAAAGACTCCACCTACATTTGGGTCCTATGGGGAATGACCTAAAAACAGCACAAGTGAAAAGTAGAATCTGCACATTAAAATTAAAAGGGGATCTGTGTAGCAAGTCTTGCTTTGTCCTGCCAATTCCCAAATGACGACATGGAGACTTCTTATTAATTATGAAAAACTCAGCCTTTAGCTTAGGCTTGTTCTCAACTAACTCTTGTAACTTAAATTAACCTGCTTCTATTAACCTATATTTTTCCACATGTCTTTTTTACCTCTCCTCCATTCTGTATGTCCAAATTGATCTGAGTCTCACTGGTATCTCCCCACCTCTTCTTCCCAGAGTCTTTTTTCTCCTTGGAAATCCTGCCTTGTCAGAAGTGATTGTCATGAGCTATTGCAGGCCATGATGTAATTATAGCTTATAGCAATTGATAATTCAGATATCAACCCATCAGAGGAATGATTCTATGATGGGACACCTGCTGTGGGATGTTCTGTATGTTAAATGTGTTGCTCTGATTGGTTAATAAATAAAACACTGATTGGCCAGTAGCCAGGCAGGAAGTATAGGTGGGACAAGGAGAGAGAATTCTGGGAGGAGGACGGTTCAGAGAGAGACTGCCAGCTGCCGCCATGATGAGAAGCAGATGTTAAGATACCGGTAAGCTATGAGCCACGTGGCAACTTATAGATTAATAGAAATGGGTTAAGATATAAGAACAGTTAACAAGAATCCTGCCTTGGCCATACAGTTTGTAAATAATATAAGTGTCTGCGTGTTTATTTTATAAGTGGGCTGTCGAACTGCCGGGGCTTGGCGGGACTCGGAGAGAAAACTCTAGCTACAGACACCCCATCAGCAAGGCTTACGGATCACTGACTCTGAAAACTGTTGCTTTTGTCTGTAACTTCACTTGCACAATAACAGCTATGATGTCTCCCCATTACCATGCACTTTCATGTAATGTGTACATGTAATCTCATGATTACATCTCAATCTTTTGGCCACACATATTTTTGGATGGTCAGGAAGATGACTTCTCATTTAGCTGTGTAATTTTGATGAATAGAAACATACTAAAATATGCTTCATAACTAGATCTATTGTTTCCTATGACTTAGAGGTCTGCTCTCCATCCTTGGCTTACTGACGGGGCACATTGTCCAAATGAAGTGTCCTTGGGATAGATTACAGGCATAAGTTTCACAGATTTTATTCATGAGTGAAATTGCAGGTGTTTGGCCTTATTGGATCAAAACCATTCAAAAGATTTATGGTGAACTAGAGTGATATTGCAGGTGTCTGGTCTTGATATATCATAGTCCTCCAAGGGATCTACAGCACCTTTGTTGCCCTAAGCTTCCTCCACCAGCTCTGCCTTATCAACACCTCCCCATTCTGATTCAAAAAGCAATTACCACTTTGTATTTATTTCTACACTAGTTTTTAATGCAAGATTTTAGGCTCAATAGACTTAACTATGTTTAGGCCCTGCAATTCAGATGATTAACAGAAAAAGGCTGTTAACTGATTAACCATGCCCGGATATTATTAATCACACTTAAGAAATATGATAGAATGCAGGTATTCTTCACCTCTTCCTTAGATCTCTCATTGGTTTAGTGTTTTCCATTGTAACCCTTGTAGCTATCCCTCTAAGAGATAAGCCAGAACTTTTTTTTTTTTTTTTTTTTTTTTTTTTTTTTTTTTTTTTTTTTTTGGTTTTTCGAGACAGGGTTTCTCTGTGTAGCTTTGCGCCTTTCCTGGATCTTGCGCTGTAGACCAGGCTG